GTTCTGGGCTTTCAAGAATGCCAGCCAGAGAAAGCATACAAGTACAGTCGAGCATCCTTGGTATGAGGATTCTTCTGTTCACTTGATAAACTCAGCGCCGGAGGTGCACAGATGAGTGAGATCCATGTCTGTTTCTCTTGGGGCCAGCCAGAGCAGGAGTGAAAAGTCATGTTCATGTGCTAGTACTTCAACAGAAATCACAGCTGAGGTTTCAATATGTGAATTGTTGAAAACAGGTCTGTTACCCATCATGGAATAACAAAATAAGTGGTTTAGGTACTGGAATTGTGATATAGCTGGGTTTGAACCCCAGTCCTAGCACTTACAACCTTTGTGATCTTGGGCAAGTTTCCTAGAAACTCTGAGCCTTTGTTTACTTATAAAGTTGGGAAAATAGTAGTTGTCTTGGGTTACTATGGAAACCTAATTGGGAATGGTCTATGTAATCCACTTGTCACTTAGTAGGCCCCCAATATTATTAGTTGTCTTTCTTTCTCTATGTAGCACGTTAAATGTTACTCTTTCATTTAAACACCCCCCTCCCCGCCCCATTAACCATGCACAATATTTAAACAAGCCCCTATGGCACTCGAGACTCCCTCATACTTTTGTATTTTTCTCCATTGAATCTTTCACATGTTGTCATTGTTCCCATTCTACCCCATAAAAATCACATTATGAGTTCCATAACGTGACAAAGAGCTTAAAAGCTCTTTGACCGTGACATCTTCCTCCAGGTACTGCTTCTCTTTCCTAGATGAAGATGTCTGAATTCAGATTGTCTCCTCTGTTTTACAGTGAAGTCAGTCACGGGCCTTATTTATTCCCTCACTTCTTCACCAGAATTGTTCTTAACAAGATCCTCAGTGACTTCCACATTACTAAGTCCAATACTCAGTACTCAGGCCTTATTTGACTTGATGCATCAGCTGCATTTATGATTCTGCCCTCTTTGTTGAAGCCCTTTATTCATTTGGCTTTCAGGACACCTCGCCTCTGGCCTTTACTTTTTAGTCTGTTTACTGTTCTCTTACCATCTCTAGCCTGTATATGCTGGTGAGTCCCAAATGAGTATCTAGTTTAGACCTTTCCTTTAAGCCCCATACTCTTTAACTGCCTAGTTACCCTCACCTGGATGTATGGTGACTATCTCAAACCTAGCATTATTGTAAAAATAACAGTGTGCTTATATAATACCATGTGCCAATCACTTGTCCCAAAATGGATTTTCCCCCCAATACCTACTTCTTCCTCTTGTTGGTAAAGGGCAAACCCACTACTCCAGCTTCTTAGGCTGAAAACTGTGAATCATTTTTGACTCTTCTCTCTCTCTTCCCCACCCCCTTCCTCTTCCTCTTCTTTTTTTCCATTCAAACACTGTTGTCAGAGTCTGATCACATTTTAAAATCTCTATTGCTGCCTACTGGTCAAAGCCTGTCATTTCTCAACATAGCAGCCAGCTGGAACCTGTTAAAATCTGGTTAGATCATGTCAGCTCTTTGCTCAGAATCTCCAAAGATTTCCCATTTCTCAGACCATCTAAGGCAAGTTGGACGACTTAGTCATCCAGTGGCTCAGCCCCACCTGAATGGTCCAAGACAGCCTCACTCGGATGTCTCTAGACCTTCAACTGTCTGGATGGCTGTGGTAGGTGGGAGAACTGGGTCTCCTCTTCCCATGTGGTCTGTCATCCTCGGCTTCATAACATGGTGATTGTATTACAACAGAGCAAGTCGAAATGTCCAAGTGCTTGTCAAGCCTCAGTTTGTATCCCATATGCTGAAGTCCAGTTGGCCAAATTATGTCACATGGCCAATCCCAGGTTAAATGTGTGAAGTGGGTTCTCAAGGGTGCAGATGCCAGCGTGTACGTGGTTCACTGGGCCATCACTATTGTATGTGACAGCCTTCTGAAGGCCCTGGGATGTGTATCAGGTGCAGTATGTTAAATTGCTTGGTTATAATACAGCACCCCTGGAAAATAATAAGAAAATAATTTAAAAAGGGACCTGACTAGATAAAACTGATGTCTGGAAATATGGGCTAACGGTTCTTTGGTGGAAAAATCAGACTTGACTTTTGTATGGTATCTTTTATTTTTAAATTCGAGACCACCAAGAATTCGAGAATATTATAGTACTATAATAATTTATAGATTATTTTATTTAGTTAAATTGGACAGTTATCTTAAATATTGTTGCTAGCTGTTTGAGTTAATTAACTTGTCTATGTCTCATGTTATCCCCCTACTCCAAATGGGGAACTTATACTTTATTTTTCCCTAGTCTACATTCATATGGTGTTTTATGTTATATAAAAGACAGCTTGCTGGTTGTCTTTCCAATCTGATTTTTGTTCTCTGTCGCCTATGAAAGGATATGTATAGTTAAGCCCTTGTTATCTTCAAATCAACTGTCTTGTCATGTTGTTCTGTCAGTTATTTTTCTCTCATTCTTACTGTTTCCAGTAAGTCTGGTCTGTAAGTACTTGTATTATTGTAGGTAAGTATGTCCAAGCATTGATGACTTCCTCATGTCTTCATGGGTAGTCTTCCCTTGATCTTAGCCAAAAGATTAAGAAGTAGTCTTCATGGGCAGTCTTACCTGACCATTTATATATCGGAATGCTAATTTTATTAAAAAGTGCTTTCCTTTTATTTTCCCTTTCTAGTACCTGTAGGGCATTTAGGTTATTTATTTTTGGAAGATATGGGGGTTGTTGCAAAGGATGCATTTTTAAAAAAGTATTGGGTCCAGTAGTAGTGAAAGCCATTATTCTGGCATACCTAATGTAGTACAGAAATTTGGGTGAAGGTAAATAGCCTTCTGATTGTTAATGGCTTAATCTGAATTTCTTATTTCACTCACTTGGGTTGTTTGACTTACCCATGTTCTGTTTGAGGTTTTGGATTTTGTGTATCTGTAGAATTATATAGTATATTGTATATATGCTGTGTAGACCCCAGTATGAAGGAAACAATATCTGATTAAGAGAGCTGAGTAGATGATCATGGGCTTTGCTTGGTGACTGTATAGAGTTGTAGATTTTCTGAACTTAGAAGGAGGTATGGCCCTCTCTGGTGGAGCTCAGTGGATTGAGCACCGCCTGTGAACCAGACGGCTGCTGGTTCAATTCCCTGTCAGGACACGTACCTGGGTTGTGGGCCAGGTCCCCAGCTGGGGACAAGCAAGAGACAACCAGTCATTTTCTCTCACACAAGTGTTTCTCTCCTACTCTTTTTCCCTCCCTTCTCCTCTCTCTGAAAATAAAATATTTTTTAAAAAAGGAAGTATGTTATTTTTAGTTATCAGATGAAAAATCTTTCAAGCTGTTTTCCTGAAAGACTTTTGAAACTTGAGAAAGTTTGAATTTTTAGGGTCTTAGGCTTTTGAGAGACTGGTTAGTCCCAATTAACATGAGCTTATTGGAGCACCTTGAAGCCTGGCAGGTGCTGGTAGGCACTGGATATACAGGGTTGAATGGCACCGTCTCCAGGAGGAAGTGGGTAAACACGCACCTTCATTGCAGTGCTGACTGGAGAAGTGGCGTTAAGATGCAGTGGGAGTGCTGGGCTCAGCCAGGGCCCCCGTAGGAGAGTCGCTGAGTCTTGAAACGGGAGAGTGGGAAAACCCGACCTGGAGAGAAGAGGCAGGCATTTCAGGTGCGTGGAAGAGTTCGAATACTATCCTGAGGGGCAGAATAGCAAGGAACTGAAAGTAGTTGAGCTTGATCGGGTCATAAAGTGTAAAGGGGGAGCTGCGGGACCTGCCAGGCTCTGCTAGGGGGCTTGGGTTTCGTCCTGAGTGTTTTTTATCAGGCTTTCTCTCCACTACAACCAAAGCCACGGGTGGTTGAATACATGCTTGGGAAGTACGGAGATAAAGTCCACATAGATCTGCGGCGTGCTCTCTTTAAGACCGGTGTTTATTGTTTAAAAAGTATGAATAACTTTGTCTTTTTTTCTAGAGTTATTATTGTGAGTTCTTAGCTTCAGTTTCCTAATGCATTGAATGAGGATAATAATAGCATTTATTTCTTAGGATTATTGGGAGTGATAATAACCATGATGATGATAATGACAATGACAATAATAGCTAACTCTTTTTTTTGCGGGTTTTCTTACCAAGGGGTGGTTCTGAGTGCTTTATTTTTCTTACCTCATTTACTCCTCAGAGCATCTCAGTGAGGTAGGTACTTTTATTATCTCCTTCTAACAAAACTGGGACATAAAGAAGTGATTTTCCTAGGGTTACATACCTAGTAAGTGGTGGAGCTTGGTTTGAATATAAGATACTTCACTGTATTACACTCCCATTCTATGCATAGAACATGTAACACAGAATCTGCCACATAATAATTGCAAATGTAAACAATTGTCAGCAGTCAATAATAATTACTTAATTTACTTGGTCTACATCTCTGAGTTAGATTGACATCCCTAAGAAACTGCTGTATTTTTCCTGTGGCTTGACTGACTTCTGCGTGCCACTGAATGCACACAGCGTGACACCCACGTCCGTGCTTCTAACCACTACCTTCTTCTGCAAATCTGCCATCATCAGCTGATCTTAGGATGGAAGCATTAGTCCTACCATCTGTACTTGCCATTAAACCATTAAACATGGTTTAATTGCTTTACATGTTTTTCTTGTGGTAGGCAACCCAGCTGGGACCAGCCACCTGCTCGTGTGACCTACAGGGCACTCTCACCTTGTCCTGCAAGAACCCTGCTGGGTAACTTGTAGTTATTCTGCGATCACACTGCTTTCAGGCAGAGAGGAGATCAGGGTCACATTGGTATGTAAAACTAGAATGCTAGAAATACACAAAACAAGTTTCAAATGTGTTTTCTAAGAAACTAAATGCAAAAAGGAAAAAAGCTTTGACATTCTTCCTTCGCCTTTGACATGAAATCATTTCACATAAAAGGAAAGTCATTTTTGTCATGGAGTTCTCTGTTGCTGTGGGTTAACTTGTATTTTCCTCCTCTCCTCTATCTAGAGTGTCTTAAAGCCATTCTACCTTAGGAGAAATTGGATGTTCTTGCAGATAGTCATTGTGGGAGAAAGCGTTCGTTTAAGTCCCAGATGCGGACCGGAAACATGAAATCAGAAGAGCGTCTGAATTCAAGTAATATTAGGTAGGATAAAAAACACAAGGGTTTCTACATGTTTATGTTCCTTTTAGAGATGTATGTTGTAGTATCATATTCTGTGAACACTAATAGAAGAGGTAGCGACTTTCTGAACCATTTGATACTAACTTACACGGGAGTGGGGAGTGCTAAAGATTTTTTTACAGTTATGTGGTTTCATAAGAACTTGGGTGTGTGTTTACTTTCTTGTGAGCATTTGTATCTTATACTCAAAGGAGGATTTTTAAACATTTACTAAATTAAATTTAAGAAATTTTTTATGTATGTCTGAATATTTATAAGCCTAGGGACATGTGATTCGTCTTGCAGATTATCCTTTAGGATGACAGTTCCCGTCTTTTGGTTGCATATTTAGCAGTTCTTTTGCGTGCAGGGAGCATCAGCTCTTGGTTCTCCTTGTCGGCATGGACACGGGCAGGTGTCCTGGTGTGCTAGAGGAGCCCTCTGTAACCTCACGGTGGGCTAGGAACTTGTCACAGCAGTTCCTGCTCTCTCAGTTTTGTTCTCACTTTCTTCTGTCTTCAACCTACTGCTTTCTCCTGGCTTGGTTTTTCATTTGAAACACACTCAAGTCTCTCCCATTGAGAAGAAGGAAGTTCTTTTCACCCCAGACACCCTGCTGGTTCTCTCCACTGCCCAGTCTTAAGAGTTGACTTCAACTTCTCCCTCTCGTTTGTTCTTCGGCCCCTACAGTTTGATGTTCTTTCTGGCAGGGCTGTTGTTGACCCTGATTTCACTGAATCCCGCACACTTTCCAGTTTGTACTGTACTTTCTGCTGCTTTTAATGCTGTTGGCTGTTCTTTTTATCCTCTTGTTTTCCACGGCCAGTCTTCTCTTACGCTCATAGACATGTTTGATGGTTTCTTCGTGGCTTTCTTTCATCTGCCCCTTAACGATGAAGGCAGGGAGCTAGCTGCTCCCTCTGCCTTTTTGGGCTGTTACATTTACTCTCCTGGGTTCATCCACCATCAGTGTGCTGATCTCTCCAGCACTGCATCCCTGGTCGTGATGTGTCCTCTCCAGGTGCCTGCGGACACAGCTTCACCTCGGGTACCCAGCCGTCCAAGTTAACCTGGGAATGGTTTTAGACTGTTTTTTCTGCATTGTCTTTTCTTCTGCTGATTTTGCTTCCTAATATTTTCTGGTTCTACCTTTTTCCACCCATCTGTATTATCACTTCCTCACTTCCATTCTTGTCCTTTAAAAAATCCATTTTCTGTTTATCTTATAATCTTTTTTTTTTAGAACTTATTTATTTATCTTTAGCGGGGAAGGGAAGGAGATGGGGAGAGAAATATCAATGTATGGTTGCCTCTTGTGTGTCCCCTGCTGGGAACTGGCCTGCAACCTAGGCATGTGCCCTGACTGGTAATCAAACCGTGGTTGCTTGATTCCCCGGCCCACGCTCAATCCACTGAGTTACACCAGCCAAGGCTTCTTATAATCTTTTAAAATAAGATTTTACTATTTATTTTTATTTTTAGAGAGAGAGAGGGAGGGCGGAGAAAGAGAGGGAGAGAAGCATCAATGTGTGGTCGCCTCACGTAGTCCCCACTAGGGACCTGGCGGGCAACCCAGGCCTGTGCCCTGACTGGGAATCAAACCAGCAACCCTTTGGTTTGCGGCCCGCACTCAATCCACCTGAGTTACACTAGCCAGAGCTATCTTATAATTTTTAATGATGCAATTCTGATAGTGCTATGCCCCTGCCTAAAACTTAGCACTGGTTTCCTATTAGTTAAAAGACAGAATTTGAGCTTCTTGACATCATGCAAAGCCTTTCAATCTGCCGTCTGCCTTGATTCTCTCGCTGGTCTCCTGGAGCTTCCGACCTTGTATCAATGCTCTAGTCTCTCTCTTTCACTTGCATCCTTTTGCTTTTATTGTTGTGCTATTTTCTCTGCCTGAAAGAAGAATTCTGTCTCGTCCTTTGGGATTTCCAAACCAGAGTAGGCTTTTGATTAAACTAGGCACACATTTTTAAATAATACAGATTAGAGTGAATGTTGTAATACAGAACATGGGAGTGTCAAGAGATGAGAAAGTCCCCGACAAACTGTAAAGTGCCGTAGAGAGGAAGCAACGTGGCATTTCTATTCTCTCACCGAGAAGGGCTCCGTTAGGGCAGCAGCGTCTCCAGGTGTTCTCCTGTGGGACTCCGCAGTGGCGCAGGAACACGATCGATTCTCTTCCGATTAATTCCACGAGATTTGACGCCTTAGAGATCTATAGATTGTGTGTGTTGTGCAACTGAGTGCATAACACATACTATACAGGGTTTGGCCTGTTATTCAGCACAAATAATTATGATTGGTTATGGTGCTTCCATGTAATTGATGGATACTGTTGTGTCCAGTACTCCTTAGTGCTCTATGGAAATAAGTCCATAAACCAACTTGAAATAAAACCGGTCTTGGCTTTTATTTAAATTAAAAAATCCTCTCGCCTTGCCGAAACAAAAAACTGGCTCACCTCTCCCTGGCCGCTGTGAGTTTGGGGGATGTTGGCCCGTGTCCCACTCAGAGGAGAAAAGGGGAAGTGGGAGTTCGGGTGGAGGGCTCCTCCTTGTGTCTGCCCCGACTTCGACGTGTCTTCTGTTTATAAGCCGTGAGCCTTAATGTGTCCTAGTGATGTGTTCTTGCTGTTTTATATCTGTTACCTTGCCTTGTTATGTCAGTGCTTTTTATAGTCAAGATATGTTAAAGAAGATAACCATTAATTTTAGTTCTTTTTTCTCTAGTGACATTATTTTAAAAATGGTCATGCAATGTTACATACTGAAAGCCCCAATTCTGTGAGCTGTTACTCGCAAACATTCTAAAATTTTTTTTATGATCTTGTCTGAGAGAGGGACTGTGACATAATGGTTAGGAGTTTGCCTTTGTACCGAACTGATTGAGTTCAGATGCTGCCTCTGTCACATGCTAACTTGGTGACCTTGGGCAAGGTATTTACCTGAGCAAACATAGCATAGCTCTCCAGTTGTGAGAGACATAGACACTTGGAAGGTGCCCAGGACAACTGTCTCTCCTTGTGTTTCTTTAGTTACAAAGTGGGGCAGTAGTAGTTCAGCGTGGATTAAATGGTTACTTCGTTTAAAGCCCTTAGAACAGTGTCTGGTGGGTAGTAAGGGCATGTAGCGTTCGTTCGCTGTTGTAGTACCTGCCTGTTCCATCAGAGGGCATTGTGGGTTTGTAAATCTCGATCCTATGCTCTCCAAGAGTGTTGTTGTGCATTGTTAGCTTTCAGCATATTTGATTATCACGGAATGTTTCAGATTTACTCAGCATTTCACGACTTCTCTTTATTGCTCGATATAAATGTTTAATTTCTCTTATTTTTTATGAATTGATATATTTAGTATTTTGAAAGCTTTGTATTTTGTAACTATTCAGCAGCGCTATTTTTATTCTTGGTTCATTCATTCTCTCTATTGATTCCTTCAGCTTAAAGTAAGAATATAAAGGGACTCATGTTGCTACAACTTCTGCCAAGAAAAACCATTTAAAAACTCTTACCTTTTTATATAGCATTCGCTATAGGGTATGAATTGTAAAAACCGTATAAACTATGAAAACAAATTGACTTTTAACAAAACCAGTAGGTTAATTGTAGTATTTTTTCTTTATAAAGTAAAGTGTAATCAAATAACCAGTTTTGTGCTAATCTTTATGGAAGTTGGTAGCAGGTGACATCTCTCTGGCTTTGATTTTCTGTTATCACGCGCTGTAAAGAAGAAAGCATAGTAGTGTAGGTGTGGGCGTAGGCTTTCCTCTTCGCGGGACATGACAGTCCTCGCTGACCCGTACTTCTCACCCGTCCGGGTGGGCGTTTTTGGTACACGGGGAAAAGGAGGCGTTGGTGGGTAATAGTACTAAACCTAATGATGCTTTAAACAGTTTGCAGATTACCTTCATCAAAAGTATGACATGGCCTGAAACTGCGAACTTTCCAATTACATGCGGCTATTCTTTAACAGTTCTCTGTGTGAGAGGACTGCGGTATTAACTAATGAAAACGGATTTATTTACTCTGAAGGAAGTCACAGACAGATATTTTATTTCTTTCTTTTTTGTTTTTTAAATCAAGTACTCGCTAGAGCAGGACAGGCAAAGATTTTCTGCAAAGGGGGAGATAGTAAATGTTTCAGGCTTGGAGGGCCATGTGGTCTTCGTTTAACTACTCAGTTCTGCCCTTGTAGCAGCGAGCAGCCATAGACAGTACGGAAATGAATGGGCACAACTGTGTTCCAGTGAAATTTATTTACAAAACACAGATTCAGGTAAAGGAGGGAATTTCACTCAAAGCTGACCATTGCACTAGAATATGAATTTTACTTGTAGTCTTTCTGATAAAAACTCAGATATTTCCTAATGCGAACAGATGATTTCATTCAGGATAGTTGACTTAAATGTTAGTATTCAGCGGATGGCACAAAACTGAACCTAGATAAGACTGTCAGCTTTTTATGTTATAGAATTTTTTTAAAGATTTTATTTATCTTTAGAGGGGAAGGGAAGGAGAGAGGGAGAGGACCATCAATGTGCAGTTGCCTCTCATGTGTCCCCTGCTGGGAACTGGCCTGCAACGCAGGCATGTGCCCTGACTGGGAATCGAACCATGATACTCTGGTTCGCAGGCCCGCGCTCAATCTATTGAGCTACACCAGCCAGGTGTTACAGAATTTTTTTACTCTAATTTGGAAGAAATAGAAGCGCCATATTTTGCAGTGTATAATGCACACTTTGGCCCAGTTTTTGAGGGAGCAATAAGGATGTGCATTATACACAGGTAGGTCTAAAAACGTGGGTGTACGTTGTGCGTGGGAGTGAATTATACACCGCACAATATGGTGACTTGGACTTTGGCGTCAGAAGGAACTAGGTTTGCACTTAATTGTACCTAATTGCTTTGTGACTGTGGACAAATTATTTTACATTTCACAGTTTTCAGTTTCCTTGTTTATGGAATGGGAATTAATAGTAGCTATCTCCCAGGGTTTTTATATATTTCATTTAGCTCTCTTTTTCCATCATTTCAATTTAGCAAGATTATTTTAGTGATTAACATGTGTCTCTCTCAGAACCTAGTAAGGAACTCTGCACAGAAATGGGCACCTTTACCCTCGTCAGCTGAGGAATCAAAACTCCTGGAATTTCAGAATGCTTTAATATTTATGTCATAGAGCGTTACGACATTTTTGTACTTTTGTTGGTGCTTGAATTTTTACTTTTACAATTTTTCTTGGACAGATTGAGTATATGAACATACAGTGTAAAATTTGATTTCTATTTGTTAATGGAAGCTTGGTCCAGAATCTGTTAGAATTACAGTTCTCCTTTTACTGATGGCCTATAAAAGAAGCAGATTGTTTGTAAATTGTTATTCTATGTGCTCATTGTAACCTTCCTTTGACTGGAAGTTGTGAGCACACTGAAATGATGCTGTTCATCTTTACAAGCAAATCTTACTTAGAATGAGAAAACTGGGCACATCACCCTAAGAATAAAATATCTTGTGTACATATGAACTTTTAGCTAAAATATGGACACAAAGTAAAATACTTCATCCTCTTCGGGGACAAAATGAAAGGTTATTGAACCCAGTGAAGATGCATGATTGGCACTGGCTTTTTGGTGTAAAGTTCATAAATTAGCACTCTCGGAGGACTTGAGCGGGGAGGAGAGGAGGCCGTTGTGACATCGATAGGCTGGGGTATGTGGTGTTCTTTGTTAAGTTGTCAGGCCTTATGTTCTAGGGCATGAGCTAATGTGACCTTGTGAAAAAAAATTCTAATGGCAGAAGTTTAACACTCAAAGCAAACAGCGAAGCTGGGCTATGTGGATAATGGAATTTGATATGATGTTACATTTTAGAACTGAGTGTAGCCATTTATTTAGTATTCTTTTATACTGATAGTTCCCATATGGTTTGTGCTTAACTCTACAGCACTCTATTGTGATTCCGTTGTTTAAAAACTTATTTTTTTAAAGATTTTATTATTTATTTGTAGAGAGTGGGGAAGGGAGGGAGAAAGAGAGGGAGAGAAACATCCATCAATCAGTTGCGTCTCTTGTACGCGCCCATCCAGCCACTTGGCCCGTAGCCCGGGCCTGTGCTGTGACTCGGATCTAACCTTTGGCTTCATAGGATATCACCCAGCCCACTGAGCCACACCTGTCTGGGCGAGGTTTTGTTTTTTTAACCTTAGAGCAGTGGGAAATTATTAAAGTGTTTCAATGGGTGATTGGTAAGATCAGATGTGCATTTGTAGAGGACCCTCTGCCAGCAGTGGGCAGAATGAGTGGAGTGGAGGGGACACAGTTTACTGCCTTTGCAGCGCAGGCGGGGCACTTGTAACGGACCGAGGATGGCTGAGCAGTGGGGGAGCTGGAGACCGGCAGGGTTACAGTCAGTGGGTGAGACCGCCCGGAGTCGATAGATTACTGGAGATTTGGAGACCGTTGTCGTGGGTGACTTCAGGTGTCTGCCTCTCACAGCTGAATGCCATGCCCCATTTGCTCGGGCGAAGACCACTAGGCAGAGAACCAGGGGTGGTGGGGTCAGGGGAGATAGGTCATGGGTTCAGTTTTGGGCCTCTCGAATCCAGGCCATTCTTGAAGAATTCTTGAAGAATTTGGGAGAGGGGCTTAGAGGAGCATACAGGAAGAAGGTTCTAAAATCCGTGAGAGACTAATTGTACATGCTTAAATTCTGAAGACAAGGAAGTATTCAGTAGAAAGAAGTTTTGACATTTTGAAAGAGGGGTGGGGGTAGCCTTAGGAAAGCCTAGAAGGAGCACACTTCGTAGTGAATGAGAAGCGCAGCGGGCAGGCTCTGACAGCGGAAGGAAGAAGAGGGCTCTGCGAGTGTGGACTCAGTAACGGCACGGGTCTTCCTGCTGCACAGGGGCATCCTTTGCCGAGAGGGGCTGAGGCTGAGAAACGGGGCAGAACGCAGCAGCCGCAGGAGAAGGGAGGTTTCAAATACAGGGGCTAGTGAATTGAGAAACATAGGGTTTCTTGGTTGCATCGAGGGGACATTCTTATTTATGACTGTCATTTAATATTATCTTAAATATATCAGCAAGAAAGTGAACTTTACTTAGTAGAAGAGTTTATATGACCTGTAAACTTCTAAGTCACGGCATCAATCTGCCAAGACCCGGTGCCACCCTGTGTGAGAAGGAGGGGACACTATTTGTCGTGCCACAGATCGAGCTGCCGTACAGCTGCGCTAGATGTGCTCACTTAGCGTCGTGCATGTTGGGCGCACCTAACTGATGTTCTCTTTTTCCTTCTCAGGCAGGCAGAAGTCCTGAAGGCTGACATGACAGGTACTGATGCTGGATTGCTTTTCACAACTCACTGTACCGTTAAGTTCAGAGAAGGGTGTCTTTCCTATAGTACTTGTCTGTCTGTCCTAGTTGCCAAAGGGGTAATAACTTAGTATTTCCTCTTACAGTTTGCTTTAAATATTTATTGTTCTATATTTTGCATTTTTACTTAGATGACTTGTCAGGAATTTTATATAAGTTGGACCACCCGGGGTTGAACATTGCCTGACTTAATGCATATAATCACTTAATTTTTATGAAGTATTTATCAGTTATTTCAAACATACAGAAAAAATTCACAAATACCCTTTAGTGTTAGGTTGATATCTTCTTGTTGATAAATACCCAAATTTGAATAATAAGAAAGCCTTCTGGAAAAAATATTTGCAGGAAAACTGCTGAAAATTTTTGAAGTTGAATGAGTTACCTTACCACATTTGGGGGGGTGGTCCCTTATCTTTCTTGTTTTGGTCAATAGCCAAGGTGTATTTGAAAGAATAACTGGACTTAGTCACTAAATGGAGCAGATGATTTTAACTGCTCAGTGAGGAAATATATGTCAATAACTCTAGAGATGAGTATGCTCTCTATAATCACATGTGCTGTCCAAAAAATGCGAAAGCGATACGTGATGATGGATCTTATTCTGATTTTAGGAATTTAGTTGTGCAGTGAAATTCACCAAGAAGAGTCAAACTACTGTGATAACCAGCATATCCGCAAAAATTTACAGTTAAGAGAAAATGAATGTTGATGTTTTGTTCTCAATTTCTACACTTGTAGGCTAATGTTGTATAGGAATTTGGGTAATCTCATTGTCATCTTGTTCAAGGAAAAAAGCCTGTCCCCCACACTAGGTCAGAAACAGTGATAGGCTTACTTAGTATAGCAACTCAGTTCTTTTCATTAACATAATTGTCATCATTTTCCATACTAGGGATGTCAGTTTCAGCTCTGAGCCACTGTGGTTATGCACTTGTACTGGCATTATTAGCATAATCTTAAGTACTAAGCACCTTCGGTGAGTATGCTAAGGGTTGTCTTTTACAAGGGACATTTGACTGCCTGGAAACATTAACTAAGATAATAAGTGTACTCATTTAAATAATAGTCTTTCTGTTAGATCAGATTTAATGATCCCTTACTATCCTTTCCTTGCCATCAAGAATTGAAGCAGAGTTGAATAAATGTATAAAATTTATTTAATCATCCAAAACTTAATAAGGGACCAAAAAGCTGATCATTGGACCCCTCCACCCCTTTTTAATAGCCAGCAAACTCTTCTGGGGATTAACTCAAATATTCAGAAGATTCTTTTTGTGGAATAGGATTATGGTGGCTATAGATACAGAGACTGAAAGAAGAGTGAAAAGCATGTCATTGCGCAGCAGCACAACACTAGATGCAGCCAGGCAGCCTAACTAAGCAGTTGGAAATATGTATTGAAAAGCCTGCCATTCGGGTCTTCTGTGGCGGTGACTCACTGTCAGTTACTGCACTCATAAGCCTACTTATCGGAAAGGCTAGTGTGCCTCCCAGGACTGTGGCAGACAGTGTGGCCTCACTTTGGTATTGGGTGTAGTGATAGCCTGACTTTCTGATTTCGTCTTGCACCCAGTCTCTCATCGGCCTCTGGAGCAGTTTAATCACTGTCTGCTACAGCCCTCATGTACATGAAATACCAAGTGTGGATTGCTCACAAGAGTGTCTTGGCAGGCAGTCCACCAATCTTGACAGTAATGCTCCCTGTCCTGGCCTCGTGTGATCGACAGACACACACCAGGTAGGAGTGGCAGCCGAAAGTGCAGGCAGCTGCTGCGCTAGGAGCCCGCACGAGGATCCTGTAAGGACCACTGGGAGAATGACTCAAAATAAAAAGAGAAGAGGCTGCTGTGGTCAGAGATGTCCAGTTGTGAGAGGAAGCGGACCGAGCTGGCGGTCCATCATTTCAGAGGGTGACTGACTGGTATGAGGCATGTGGCTTCCTATGATATGAGCACTTCGAAATCCGCACCTAAAGGAAAGGGTAAACCATTTTTATTTCATGGTATTATTTTAAAGCTAAAAGACAAATACAGCAGCACACAGATTTAGTCTTAGCCAAAAGGTATGAAAGTCACTTGAAATGGAGTAATATAAAACTTCTCCAGCAGTTCACGGTGCGTCCTTACAGCAGGTTTTGCTTTGGGGAAGGGAGCGGGAAGGAATCGTTGTGGTGCCATAATGGACTTGACGCTGTATTCGTTCTTCTGTTTTTGTTCTGTCACTCAGATTCCAAGCTGGGTCCAGCCGAGGTCTGGACATCCAGGCAGGCTCTGCAGGACCTGTACCAGAAAATGCTAGTTACGGACTTGGAATACGCATTAGACAAGAAAGTAGAGCAGGATCTGTAAGTACCGTCATGTGGGATGTCCCTGTTGAGATCAAGAGTCTCAACAAGACTTTAGGACAGAAAAAAAAAACAATATGGTTGGTTCTTTTCAACCTTTCTCGGAGTAAGCGTTTTCAAGTGAAAATTGGAAAAAAAAATTATGATACTTGTGGGGGGGGGGTTTGAACCAAATATTTGACCATTGGTACTACTTTTACAGTCTTAGGTGGCAAGAGAAGTGTTGTTCAGAGTGGACTCTTGTCTTAAGGGCATATCATAAAATAAATAAGTACGTCCTTTTTTCCCCCTAATAAGACTAAAGAAAGATTTTGTACATTTAGGCTATTTCAGTCCTTCTTTCTGTGAGGGGTAAAATGGGAGATGACCACGTTCCTGAGTGAGTAAATAAATGTCTTTTGCGGGAGGCCTTGCCTTTAAATTGAAACCATGGAACAAAGGTTTAGCCTGATGAAAAATTAAACAGCAGTTAAGAACCTGCTACTTAGCGCTGCCCCTTACCCCAAGTTGTAGTGGAGATGCATTTTTCTTGCCCTCCGCACTTGTCTTAGATTACTTTGTACTAATAGATCTAGTGCTAGTGCTCACTCTCAACCCACTCAGAACCCAAATCTGTGGTTTTAGAGTGAAGGCTAAGATGCCATTGAAAATTCTGAGAGAGTGTTTGACCTCATAACCATTAAAAACCCAAGTGCTCTAGAGCCTTAAAAGTTGACTTTGATAAAGAATTAGGTGTTTTCCAGGTAGGTTGTAAACCTTTGTCTGTGTTTACTTCCTTTAATCAGTAGTAACACCCTCCCTTCATCCTAGTTCCGTTTTCCCCCCTGTGATTTCCAGTTAGCAGGTGGCTGTTTTTACCGAACCTGAATTTAAAATGATTCTCTGAACGACTTGATCAGTGAAAGGCATTTTATGACATGATTTTGGTATGCTATACTTTAGCATTGTGCAGTTTCTGATTTTAAATAGTCAAATTGAAATATCAGAAAATGAGCTTGCTTTTAAGCTCTAAAGAAAAAGAGAAATGAACTATTACATAGAAATGGAACTATGGAAAATAGATTTTTTAGGGAAATAAGGGATATAGCTTAATACAAAACTTTCCCCCCCGTACACATCATTTGTTAGGGAATGCTCAATTATATTTTGGCACAATGTTTGCAGATTTGTTAATAGCTTATTTTTACTTTGGTCGTACCACTGTAGTTCTGATGTTGTGCTGGCATTTTTAAATAGGCTCTAAGTTAAGCTCTAAAAGATTAGTAGCTGAAGCCCCAATCTGGTTATTCAAACATTTGGTAAGTGTTCACTGAGGTCAGTTGGATTCCACTGCATGTCTAGTCTTGTTCAAAGGGGAGCCTAAAGTTATTTAAATAAGTGAGTAACTTGAATGCAGGTTTACTATCTAGTGTGTTATAATTATAACAAACAGTTCTTTCTTGTTCTCAGGGGGACCAGTGTCTGCCCAGTGAGTCACTGCTATACAAATAGAATTACATTTTGTTTTCAGCTGGAATCATGCCTTTAAGAATCAGATCACAACACTACAAGGCCAGGCAAAGAATCGAGCAAACCCGAATCGGAGTGAAGTTCAGGCAAACCTTTCTCTGTTCCTAGAGGCAGCTAGTGGCTTCTACACTCAGGTGAGTTCTACGTTGTACACCACTTTCCCTAGAATTAGTGGTGACTGTTCTCTCTGTACACATCTTGTTGGTCGAGTACACACTCGTGCAGCCACTGTGGGGGCCGTCCAGGAGTGGATCACCTGTGATCTCAAATGAGTAAAAGTGTTCCAAGTTGTTTACCGTAGACCTTTACACAGAGACTCTATTCGTAAACAGTCTGATGTTTCAGCTTCGTGGTTGGAGGTATAATTGGGGAAACAGAAAAAGGGCGGTGAAAGTAGCGCCGTAGTGAAACGGTGGCAGTGGTCGGTTACAAGCGGTGTCAGAGCAGATGTGAATTTATAGTGGGGGTAGTTATCAGGAAGGTAGCTGCCGTGTGGTACAGGTAAGAACTTGTCAAAGTTTGTGTTATCAAGTGAGTTTTCACAGTTTTATACATGCAGTATGATTTAGAGCTTAAAATGCTCTTAAACTACCTGAGAAATGCAGTAGCTTTTCTGCAGTTTCACTGAGGTATTACTCATTTTCCTTAGAGACTGTCCTCATCCTTAGTTCCATGCTGATACAACTTCTAAATCCAGGGAAGGTAAAGTAATGAATGACTCTTTTTCTCTGAACAATGAATTTTCTTTACTGTGAGCAGAGCCCTTTAAAAACCTGATTTTATTCATTTGTAATAGCATTTATAATTTAATAAAATATCTGTATGTAAATGTTCGTCTTCAGACGACAAGGTTAAGGTTTGAGGATCCCGCTCTGAAGAACTCCTGGCCGGTTCTCAGAGTGCTGCTGCTCGGCCGTCACTGTGTGTGCAGTTGGACCCTGTGTGTGCAGGAATCTCGGCTCAGTGGGATATCAGGGGAGGGGTGCCTGCCCCTGTCCTGCTGCCCCAGCACCACTTTCAGCTCTGCCTCTCTCAAGTCCAGATTTCTGTCCTAACATCTTGGACAGATTCTGTGCATTCTGGTTACTTTTAGGTTTTCGAAACGTCCAGTTTTAAAACTCCAATCTTGTTTCTGATCAAATTTTCTTCCCCCCATTCATTAGAAACTAGAACTGTGAACATAACGGAAGTAGGGAGCAGTCAGGGTGTGGGGCAGCTGGGGCAGCTGGACTTGGTGGAGGCAGTGGGAAGGCATCCCCTTGCAGCGCATTTTTGTGAAGGCCGTTGTACAGATGGGCGTGTTATCCTGAAAAGGATTCTTAGCCTTTCTTTATGACATGGCATGAAACGCATTCCCAAGTACTTAGTTGGATATTGATAAATCACATCTGCAAGGAAGTAAAATAAGAATCATCATTTTTATAGGAGCATGGTATTTGCAAAAAACATTTTATAAAATTCAAATGTCTCAAAATACTGTTTTATAAGGGGAAAATGGGTGATCTAAATTTGAAATTTATTTTTGAAATGTTTATAATCATTAATTTTTTCACCTCCATTTCTTGGGCAGTGGTTGAGCAGTTACAACAGCTGTACTGTTGTAGGATGAGCGTCGGTAAACTTTCTTGCACGTGTCAACACGAATAGGACTTTGTAGTTGCATCTTCCTGTGGTCTTCGTGCGATCACTGACACAGCTAACGCTGCTGCCAACAGTAACGTCCGCTCGGTCCCCTGGTTGCATGCCGTGCGGTGAGCCACCAGGGTGAGGAAGTGGGCCGGGTCCCGGTCGTCCCACCACTTTATAGTCTGAAACGAGTTTTGAAATTTATTTTTTTAAAGATTTTATTTATTTATTTTTAGAGAGGGGAAGGGAGGGAGAGAACAGTGGCCTGCAACCCAGGCCTGTGCCCTGACTGGGAATTAAACCTACGACCTTTGGGGTTTGCAGGCCGGTACACAGTCCCCTGAGCCACACCAGTCAGGGCTGAAATTTAATTTGTGAAAGGATACTTGGCGTACAGTATTGTATTAATTTCAGGTGTGAAGAAGCATAGCGATTTAGAGCTTAGACCTGCACCCATAGTTAGACCGACTACTCCCGCTCTGCACTCATGAATTATAACAACGGAAACCCCCTTCTCCTAAAGCAAAGGATCCCTGCGGTAACCAGACGATCGCGCGGCGGGTTCGCCGCACCATCTCCCTCTCTCCTACCCAAAAAAGAAAAGCAAAGCTCGTTTTTAATTGAAGACGAGAAGCGGTTGAATGTTAGTCATCTGTGTCTCACGAGTCCACATTGGATCTACACCTCCCTGCAAAATAATGACAAACAGCCTCCAGAGTGAATTTTATGAGTACAGTAAAGAACCCCGATTGAGACAGACATTGGTGTTTAGTATTTAAAGTCCTGGACCTGGTGGGAACAGACTCAGCATGAAAGGAGCCATCATTCCGATAGGAGAAAATCAGAGAGTGGCGCCTCGGGGACGAGGACGAAGCCTTTCTGTGAGCAGAGGGCGCGACCAGCCCTGCTGCTAAGAAGTGAAGCAAGAAGGTTAAAAGTGACCAGTTAGATTGGACAACGTGCAAGTCATTGGGGAAAGGAACAGTGCCGTATTTCTTCATTTCTAAAAGATTGTCCCCGCTTTAATATCTCTGGAGTAGGGCCCTGGCTGGTGTGGCCTGTGAACCAAAGGGCTGCTGGTTCCATTCCTGGTAGGGACACGTGGCTGGGTTATGGCCCAGATTCCCCAGTAGGGGGCGCTCAAGGGGCAACCACACATGGATGTTTCTCTTTCTCCCTTGCTTCCCCCTCTAAAAATAAATAAAATAAAAAATATCTCTGAAATAGGGGTGTTTACAAAAATAGGTAAATCACCATTTAATTGGCGGTTTTTTCCCTCAGTGTTGTATAGAGTAATAGTTATTATTTATGGTATCTTGGATTTGATAAAATGTGGCTTCCGTCGCATGGACAGGGTGGCGATCTGAGTGGTGTGGATTGAGGGGAGACTGGTTTGTGATTATCCTTGGTCGTATTTTCTGTGAGGGTGGTTTTGACGTCTCAGCTGGGGTTTGGTTCACCATTTTGAAGCATATGGTGCTTCGAGCCAGAAGCAGATGCCCAGTCGAGATGCAGGTGTAACATTCTGCCGTAGGTTTTCTTAACATCAAGAAACAGTAGTCTTTAATCTAAGGAAATAGTTCTTCATTCTTAGTATAGAATAAATAGCTAAGGAGCAGTACGATAGGATAATAATGGCATTTTCCCAGAATAATTGCCAAATATAGTTTTGTTCAAATTAGGAAACATCTGTTTCTCTCTTTAATTTTACCTTGTTTCTTTCTGCCTCTAAACCAACTAGCGTCCTCTCGCCCAGAATCCTGGAGCCAGCAGGAATGGCTCTGGTCTCTCCACCGCAGCCTCTGTGTGCCCGGAGCTGTTACGGGGCGGCGATCCTCTGGCCTTTCGGCCGGGTTTCGTTTACCTTTTGTGCACGTTCCTTTTTCTTCCTGGTAGACGTTCAGCTCTGCCTGCTTTTCCGGTCTGTCCTTCCAGTACCTGCTGAACTTGATTCTTTATCCTGCCATGTTTCTTCTCGACACCTTCCACTGTCATCTGGTTTGGGTTTGGGTTTTTAATTTTTTCATACTTCCTGCCTTTTCTGTTACCTGACTCCAGTCAGCCATTCCAGGCATTAACTTGTTTACCCATTTTTTGTCAGCAAATTTATTGCCCATTACAAATGTGCAGTTATAAGTAAAGATTTAGTAGGTGATGTCAATGCTTAGTGATTAAGGCACACAGAATGTATATTCATATGTGGAGGTGCTTTTTATCTTAGGGAGAAAGTGGGACATTTGAAATCCTTCTGAGTTGGGTCCTCGGAGTATCATATATTGTATTGTGGATTTCTGCACACCACAAAGAGTGGTGATAGAATCGTGGTATTTCTAATTCTGTAAACTTAGTCAAATCATTTGCTATTGCTGTTGCTTTCATATCCTCTTCTGAAAAAAATAGAGCTTATTATATGCCTACTAGTTTATCAAAATGATAAAGTCAGGCAAATGGATCAAAGAACCAGGGAGTGCAGTTTGTTATAAATGTAAAATATTCTGTTGGCTTAAGCTGTCATGTTTAATGCTCCTTCCTTACTTTCCTTCCCTTCCCTCCACTCTGCACTTTATGTACCTGTCTTGCTCATTTTGCTGTGAGCTCTTTAAGGACACAGATTTTTTAATTCATGTCTCTATCTCTTATCATGGTGGCTAATACAGTAATGAAATATTTGAAGGAATAATATTTGTAAGTAAATATCTGAATGAATGAGCAGGATGCAGAGAACTTGTGTGGGGGTCAGGAATGCAGCCCCTGGTGAAGAGGGTGGGAGGAGAAGGCCTTCGGATGAAGGGACTGGGAAGGAATGTCTGGTGAGGTCCAGGAAGATGGTTCCCAACAGACGTCCGCTGTGGCTTCAGTGGCGTGGCGCTGGGGTGGGGAGAGGGGTTTGTGTGGCAGGCGGGTGGTGGCGGGCTGAGGGGTGAATAGGAACTGAGTGCGGCCCATGCGGACTCCCTGGGAGTTGGGCTGCGGTCTTTAAGCAGTGCTGCTGTTCCTTTTCAATGTGAGTTCTAGATTGCTGTGATACTCGAGAACTCAGGAGATGTGGTTCGTAATGAATGTTACTAATTATCATGGGAAAGATGACTAAAAATTTCTTTAAGTCTTTGCTCAGGTCTCAGTGCTATGTGATACTAGGCACGTAGGTTAAAGTACGTAAGCTTTCCTGTAGAGCACTTCTGCCTCACCAGTTCTGACTTGACACCGAATCTTGCTGTGTTTCCTTTTAGTTATTACAAGAACTGTGTACAGTGTTCAATGTTGATTTACCGTGCCGTGTGAAGTCTTCCCAGCTGGGAATTATCAGCCATAGACAGACGCACACCAGCGCCGTAGTGAAGCCACAGTCCAGCTCCTGTTCCTACATCTGCCAGCACTGCCTCGTTCACCTGGGGGACATCGGTGAGCCCACGGGGGAAGGTGCTGGTGACACAGCTGTCCTTCTCTCTGGTGCAGTCAAAGAGGGGCCCTCGGCCTGGCTTCAGACTGAGCGTGCGCGCACAATGCAGGTCACCGCATGAGGGAACTGTAAAATGCAGTTTAAGGAGCTCTGCTTTCCTCAGTGTTTTGGGATTGGCAAAGGGTCAGAAGGAAGTGACTTTTGTATTAACATTTGAATTTTATTCAGATTTATTTAGATGTAGGCAAATAATGAACAGCAGAAATGTAATCGAAGTTAAACTTTCCAAAGTGGCGCTGTAATAATTTTCTCAACTAAGTCTGTACTTTTAGAATTGCAGGGTTTATAAATTACTCCTTCTGAAGCTAGATTGCCTTCTTTCATTCCTACAATGCATTAGAAACTCATTTTTGTTTCTTTTTTACAGTTAAATTTCTATTTCCATTTTGTATATCTTATCTAGGAATGTGATGTAACTTATTTCTTGTTCATTCCTTTAAGGTGACCTAAAAGGGTTGTAAAACAAATTAACTATAGGATTATGTTTTGCTGTCCTCACATTATAGGGAATGGAGAACATTACTGCTTTAGGTTCAAAGATTTTAGATTTCTTAATGTCCTAAATCGTTGACTCAGGGAGGGGTCACATCCAAGTAAGCACCCAGTTCTGCAGGGAGATGCAAGGAAGAGTGAATTTAGGTTGTCTGCTTTCAATGTATTGTTTGCGCACACACAGTTATTATTGAGTAGGTGTGAGGCATTTTTCAAAATCACTTTATAAGATATTGAAGAAATACACGATTTGCAGATCATATTGTATAGTGTTTTTTGTTTTGTTTTGTTTTTAAGTGCCATATAGCTCACCCCTTGTTGGCCGGCTCCAGGTCACCAGCATAGTCCGTAGTGGGAGCTGGTGATGCATGACCCTGGAGGACCCGAGAGTGGGGGCTAGGTAAGCCTTTGCATTGGTTCCGTGCTAGAGGTCCCGCGTAGGGCAGGCCGGATGGACACGCCACACATAATCCTATAGTTCATTTGTTTTAAAGTCATTTTCTCTCTTAAATTCTCGTAGATTAACTTTCCTGTTCCTTATCTTTAGAATTTAAAACTATAGCTGTTTTGGAAGTACTGCCCTAGCTGATGCTTGATTTGTTTGTCTGTTTTTAAACTAAATTTTCTTCTTCCCTCAGCTCGATACAGAAACCAGACCAGCCAGGCAGAGTCCTACTATCGGCACGCAGCGCAGCTGGTCCCCTCTAACGGTGAGTGGGCCCCGGGCGGCTCATGGGTGGCGGTGGCGGTGGCGCTGCATTCTTCACAGCAGTGTGGACAGTAACTGGAGGCTCATCTTTCAAGTGTGATGAGTTCGGGTGTTGTCATATTTTTCCTTTTACATATATGTTCTGTGTAACTGGAAATGAAATTTTTTAAATAGCATAACTTGTCATTTAAAGCAGTGTAATAGATATCTCCTGATGTCATCTAAAATTGTTTCAACAACTCTGGCTTCCTTAATCACTTGTAATTTTTGTTTAGTACCGCCATTTCTGTCCTAGAAAAACCATCTCTTATTACCTAAAAGGTAGTGCTTTTTTTCTTTTTGATGGTCCCAGAAATTGGCATTAGCGGTGGTTCCTGAAGTAGAGAAATGACAGTGGATGTTTGGTGGGATAAGCCACATTGATATCCCTCTGGATTCTAAAAGAGCCCCTTGAAAGAGTCTCAGGCAGGGGCAGCAGTCAGCGCACTATTCTGTTGCTTCTCGTTTGGCTGCTTTCCCACCACAGAGGCAGAGTCGGGGAGTCGTAATAGAGACTCTGGCCCACAAAGCCAAAAAATACTTAGTATATAGCCCTTTCTGAAGTCTTATTTGAACTGTAGTGCTCTCCATTGTAAGTATGCGGCCTCTAAACCGAAACATTTTGTGTACGGTTGCTGAAGTATGATGTTTTTATGCTATACATTTAGGTTATAAAATACTCCGCCTTACTAATTTAAAGGTGTAAAAATTGATCATCCGTATTCCGATCAGAGGACTGTGCGTTGTTAGTGACTTTAGAATGTTGACTTTCTCCTCTAGGTCAGCCTTACAATCAGTTGGCTATCTTAGCTTCTTCCAAGGGAGACCATCTGACCACAATTTTCTACTACTGCAGAAGCATTGCTGTGAAGTTCCCTTTCCCAGCTGCCTCCACTAACCTACAAAAAGCACTTTCTAAAGCACTGGAAAGGTAGGGTTGACTTTTCCTAGAGGACTTGGTGTAACTTGGTAGTCTTTGCCCTTCAAATTTGTGCATGCAAGAAATAATGGCCACTGCCCTGTGCTTCTGTGGTATGCACCCGATGTATAAACAGTAATAAATAGTAGCTTTGTGTGTAGCTGTCAACTGAATTTCAACCAAGCAGCAACTGATTCGTCCCCAGTAGAGGAGCACAGGCTGCTGAATTACTGGCTTCATCTGAGTGTGTTGCAGTTGAAAATTTAGTGAGATGCAGAATCCTTTCTAGGTGCTCAAGTAATGTGTTTGTGCAAACTGAAGCTTCCTCTAAGAGGCTTTAGCCATTTTACTGCTTAAGATTCATGGAAGTTTTTCTTTCATTTCAGCCGGGATGAGGTGAAAACCAAATGGGGCGTTTCTGACTTCATCAAGGCCTTTATTAAATTCCACGGCCACGTGTACCTGAGTAAGAGCTTGGAAAAGTTGAGCCCTCTTCGAGAAAAATTGGAAGAACAGTTTAAGGTTAGAATTCAAGAATAGAATTTATTCTCTTGTATAAGGAAGTAAACAATTCAGGGGACGATGGCTCCCAGTTTTTATACCATTACTTAACTGTGTACTGTTGGCAAAAATTAACTTTGAAATTAAATACAAACTTTTTTCGTGCCGCATGCCCTCAGTTTAAACTAAGGTGCCCTCTGTATAAAGAATACACACAGCAGTGGTGGACTGAGTGCCAATTGACAAAAAAAAAAATACCACGTGGGAAGAAATGGCTCTTATGCCTTCTTTCTCAGACCAAGCATATTTCTTTCTCAGTTTTGAAAATACTGCTATTGATGGGTTAGATATTTTTAGATACGGTTTTGTTACCTACTTTATAGATATTTCCATTCTGCAAATCAAGCTCATTTTTCTTACTGTACTTGAATCCAGCAGGGTTTGTAGTAGAAGAAAAGGAATGAGAAATTTTATGTAACATACATATTTTACTAACTTATATAAATACAACTAAGTAACCTTTGTTTTATTTACATATTTGAAAACAACCTTTTTAGTATATTAAATTAGCTATTTAAATGTAGCATAATATGTAAAATATGGGAACAGCAAAAATTAAATGTTACCTTTATTATTATTCATGTACTCAACAAACATTTGACTCGTGTATCTGTCATTGTTTTGGTCACTGGATCGACAGTGAACAAGACGTTCTGAAGGACATGTTTTATTTCTTGGTTACTGCTGGATATTATACATACTTGGGGAATTATCCATAACTGCTTTACAGTTTTATGAATATTATGAAAGTTTCACATTCTAGAGACTGTAGAACTTAGTTACATGTTCTGTGTAACTGGAAATGAAAATTTTAAAATAGCATAACTGTTGTCATTTACGTCTTTACTGAGATGTAAATTGGCCAAATATAGTCATTGTGAAATCATTCTTACAGATAATCATTTTTTAGTTGATACTTTTTTTGTTTAAGGATTATCTAAGCAACTGTAATAGAAATAGTTGGTTTTAAAGTAAGCTTCTAAAATAAGAGTCCTCTGCTGTTTGCTGCTTCTTTGGTGGCCTGTGTGAACTTAGTCCATGGTTTATAGAGTCCGTGCGTCAAAGCAGCACCTGGCTTGGTAATGCCCTGGAAAGAACAGATAAGTCTAAATACCTTCACTACAAGTTCTCACGTATGTGAAGGATTACTTTAATGTACATAACATATCTTTTGCCTTTCCCGAAGTCAGAACTAAAATTAAATTTTGAAATTTAAGTAGAGCCCTGGCTGGTGTGGCTCAGGGGACTATTTCCAGTCGGGCACACGCCAGTAGGTGGTGCGCAAGAGGCAACCACACATTGATGTTTCTCTCCATCTCTTCCTCCCTCCCTTCCCTTCTATATAAAAAATACATGTATACATACATAAATCATTAAAAAATAAAGTTTAAGTAGAAATAGGCAGGGTATTGCTAAGGATTCTGTCTTTTGAGAACCTAAAAGTCAGATTGACAGGCATCTTGAATGGTTTGGGTATAGTCCTGGTAAAATATCTGGGGATCGGACCAGATGACTTGAGATTGCTTCCAGCTCTCTGGTTCTATGAAAGACGCACTCCCTAAATGGGGAGGGAAGGGAGCCTGTCTTAATGAGCGTTTTTCTCTAGTTATTCTAGTCTAGGATCTAGTCACTTCTGCATTTGGTTCAACCCTAAACACTAATATTCTCTTCAGATACGTATTTCTGGTGAAGTTCTGGTGGGTGTATGTGGGCAATTGCCGAAATACTCCCTGAAGTATCATTCCTACACTCTGAAGTTAAACACGGTGTGTGGCAGATCTGTTTTAAACCTTACCCAGTACTGAAATGGCAGAAGAACATTGTTGGTATGAAATTAGCATTGTTGAGTAAATATTTGAAATTATTTCTGAAGTATTTGTGGATAATTAGTGTAAAACTTGGGTGTGTCTGACTAGCAATCTTTAGCTACTGAGCAGGAACATTCACCAGGTTGAGCTTCACCGAGAGACAAAGGCCTGGGGTAGGAACTGAGGCGCAAGGCTTTTTATAGCTGTCAAGTGAGTGCTGTTTCCTATAGGTATTTGGGTCAGTGTCTTCCTCAGCTGCTGTTGAGAGTGTCTTTCAGCGACAATATGTCGTTCCCATCTAGCTTTGTCCGGGGTGGGGGGGGGGGGTTCTCTACTTCCGACAACACAGTCCGAGTTCCACAAAATTATAGTTGAATAATTACACATTTACTTCCAAAGTTGTGAGTTATTCCTTCACTAAGTGTTTATTGAGTACCTACTGTGTGCTGTGCACCCTTCTGGGCCCTTGGAGAGATAAGGGAGAGAAGAAGACACAACCTGTGCTCTCCTGGACTTAACGCTTGCTGGTACTGGGCCGCGCCCATGTGCATTGACTTCTGTGCCTACGCTCCAAAGCCCTTTACAGGGCTGGAATTCTGCTCTGGAGGACGCTGCCTTCTGTAATAAATGGGGATTTACAGATGCAGGGCATACGTTGCTGTTTTATAATTTTAATTAAAAAGTTTTTAAAAATTTTATTTATTTAGCTTTAGAGAGGAAGGGAGGGAGAGAGGGGGAGAAATATCAATGTGTGGTTGCCTCTTGTGTATCCCCTGCTGGGAACTGGCCTGCAACCCAGGCATGTGCCCTGACTGAGATTCGAACCGTGATCCTCTGATTCTCAGGCCTGCGCTCAATCCACTGAGCTTCACCAGCCAGGACAGAAAAAAAGCTTTTTGAAAAAATAAATATTAATATTCTCATTTTATGCGAGTATTAGGCATTTGTGTAAATGGTCAGCTTATGTGGAATGTTGGACATAGAAATTGAAAGAGAAATTTTATAGGAAGATTCTGGAGGAGAGCTGGGATTTCAGGACAGTGTGGAGGAAGGGAGGAAAGTGCCGGCTGCCTTTGGGGAAGAAACGCGCACTCCAGGCGTGTGTGCGGGAGGCTCGTGTGCGGGAGGCGTGTGTGCTGGGATAACAGCCGGCAAGGCGGCTGCTGGGGCTGGTGGGGGCAGAGAGGTGGGGCGGAGAGGAGCTGCATTTTTCTCCAGTGATAATGGGAACTGCCTTGCTAAGGAATTGCAGGACTTGTTCTGGATGTTTCACATTCTTTAACAGTATACAGGAAAAAGAATCCTAAAGGGAGCTCCAGATTTCTCGGGTGGTAGAATTCTTGTCACTGCTGGTAGAATTACAAATAAAGTTATTTATTTCCACCATAAGGCAGTGAATCCCCACTGTCTCCACAAGAACTTCCTTGGGAGGGGGTAGGCTGTGGCCAGGATATCATCTTTGTTACCAGCTTCGTTAGGAACTTGTGTGGTTAGAGGGGTGATTAAGTCGATGCTGCCAGCCGTGTGCTTGTTGGTGAATCCTGCCTTGTCGTGCTGGTTGGCGGATCGCTGTGAACATGCGGTTATGAAGTGAAAGATGCGATGATGAAGATCTTACAGGGGAGAGTGTCAGTGTAATAACTTGTAGACGTGCCTGTATATGTCAGTGATTGCTTTAGCGTATTGTTTCCTTTGTGTTCCAAAGCGTGTTCTTGCTATATGCCTCCTTATAAAGAAGTTTCTTTAAAATGTCAAACCTTTGAAAGAGTCAATTTTATGACAAATTTTAGACGTCATACATTATGTACCAGGAGTTCAAAAACATATGTTTCGAGTCTTTTCATTCGAAACTTTTTCTCACTATGTGCACGTACTTTTTAGTCATTGGTCCCGATTGAATATTTTAGTGTGTAAACATCTCTTATAAAACAGCTTCTAATGGATAAAGGTATATGAATTTATTGATGCATGCCCAAAACTTTTTTCTCAGACCGTATTAAAAAATAGTTTCTTAAGGAAGAAAACCATTGTGAAAAACATCTCAAAACAGCTCAGTGGTGTCTGGGTTAATTCCTTCCAAGGCAAAGAGAAACATCTCATCTTGAGAACTGTCAGACCACATTAGACTCAATTAAAATGCTGGGGATTAAGAGTAGAACGGTCTTCTCATCTGTAACTTGACTGTTAGCCCACGTGGCTCTAGAAATGCAGACTGCCAGTTTATTTCTTGCGTCGAAGACAACTCCTGTTCTAGATAACAACGTGTGCAGTATTCCTGTCTTCTCTTACAGAGGCTGCTGTTTCAGAAAGCTTTCAACTCTCAGCAGTTAGTTCACGTCACTGTCATTAACCTGTTTCAACTTCATCACCTTCGTGACTTTAGCAACGAAACGGAACAGCATAGTTACAGCCAAGATGAGCAGCTGTGTTGGACACAGCTGTTGGCCCTCTTTAGTGAGTATTAAACCATTTTACGTTCTGTTCCATCTTCTTTGGAAAGCATAATCTTAGGCATTTTCCTCATTGTAACAAAGCATTGCAGACATGTAAAGAAGTGTCCTGTTCGTCTTAACATTGACTCAAGAGGCCTTAAATTCTCTTCTTTGCTGACATCGTCAACTGTATCTGTAACAATTTTTAACATGGGAAAGAAAATGTCTTTTTCAGAAAGAAGTTGTGAGATACTTAAGTGTTCAGTAGAATATAGCAGAAGGCTTATAAGCTCATAATGACGTTTTAATTTGGACTGATAATGCAGTTTCAAATACCTTATGCTTTCCGAATACATTTTTTCTTTAAGTGTCTTTTCTTGGCATCCTGTGCAAGTGTCCTCTCCAGAACAAGTCTCAGGAGGAATCCTACAACGCCTACCCCCTTCCCGCGGTCAAGGTCTCCATGGACTGGCTGAGACTCAGACCCAGGGTCTTTCAGGAGGCAGTGGTGGATGAAAGACAGTAGTAAGTATCTTAGAGTTTCGTGTTATCCTCCGAGCTGTTTGTTTGATAGTCATCGATATGTAGAGACCACCTTCTAACACACAGCTTCTGAACAATGGAAGACTGTTTCCCACCCACTCTTTGGAAATGGGACTGAAGACCTCTTTGTAGACTTCTCCTTTGTTTTGAATTTTTCATGTGAGGCACAGTCTTAAGGATTCCTGACTCTTTGCTTCCCCCCGTCCCTGGTTGCCATCCTGGGAAAGGCATTTTTCACATTCCAACATGAAATAGAAATAAAACCGCTTGTTTCTCATCCACTGCAACGTGCCCCGGTTTTCTATTTGGGAAGTAAAGGCCAGAGATTTTTGCTTTGTCCCATTATCTTCTGTTCATAGGCTGTTAGGGGTTGCTTTTATAGTGACACCCAACTAGAGTTATATTTGTTTAAGCTTAGAAGATTTGGGTTATCACCATTTTCTCTGTAATCTCTACTCAGAATAATTGTGATAATTCTTAGGAACTATTGATTCGAGAGTGACAAATCGAAGCTTTCAGTTTACCTTTGATTATAGCATTATTTTCAGTAAGGCTTTGCAATCAATAGGAAGTTCCTCCCCTGTATCTTTTGATGGTGGATATAAGGAGAATCTCTGAAATTTCTGCCTTCAGCATCTGCACGTTGACCAACGTCACAGCTGAGAAAATGTCCCAGCTACATGTAAAACCCTGTGATCCCCTACTTAATTCTCTTTGCCTCGTACACCTGGGTGTGAGCTGCTTTTTTCAGATGAACTGCATGGACAGAGTTGGGCAGTGCGGCGCGGCGCTCCACCGGCCTCCTCTCTGTGTCTGTGCGGGCGCTGTGCGTGATGCGCACTTTAGACACTACTTCCCGGCACACACTTTGCATTTCTTGACACAGAGGCTGTAGTTTCCTCCCCTCTGTGGTTCAGGACCTGAGACCTGTGGTGGTGTCCCTGCCCGGCGCCCTCTGGCCCGTTCTGTGTGTCCCCACTTCGTACTGTGGCAGAGCGTGGTCACTAAGAGCAGTAGTTTTATGCGCAGACCCGTGTTTCTCTCTTTCCTGTCATTTGCTGTTTCCCCCTCTGTTCCGTAAGATGTATCAGGAATTTTAGACTCGCCCTGCAGCTATTTCATTCTGGTTTAAATTATGTTTCAGCTTAAAGACTAGTGCCGGGCATTTCTCTAAAACTGGAGGTGTTCCTTTTATGTTCGACACCTTAAAGTAATCACTTTTTATATCTTTTAAATAATGAGAAAATCTCTTCCTTTTCTGAAGTCAAAATTTTACATATATTCAAATAATCTTCAGGGACACTTAGCATTTCTGAAACTTGTTTTAAACTTCTTGTGAAGTACTGACGGCTTTTTTCCCTTTGTAGAAAAGCAGAGTTACACTTAAGTACCGCAGAATAGGGGGGAGCAGTGTACCGTTGCTGTCTGCTCACGCTCTTTTTCAGCAGTCTGTTTTTAGGTTATTAACCTTTTCCAACCACCTCATGATTTGTTACATCCCCAAAGGCTTGTTGCAGACATTCACTTTTAAATGTTTGTTTCCCTGTCTTTTCTCTATATGTGCTTTTGTATTTCTTTTAAGCAGCGTATTCCCATATTTCAAAGTGCACAGCTGTTGGAGTGGTAGTTAGCCTCCGAGTCATTTCCGTGACGGGGTCGTTCACATCCGACGCGCGGGCACCTCGCCCTGGCCTTTTTTGAAGTCACACTTTCACCAACATGGGCGAGAAGTTAAAATTCCAAGGAAAGGTTAATATGACCTTAAGTAGAACATGATTATTTTTAATTTTTTAAAGTAAATATTAAAATATTTTAAAATATTTTGCGAACTTTCACAAAAATTGCCTGTGTATTAGGAAACAGCTTAGAGGTGAGGGCATTGTAACAACGCGTGAGTTCTCTGTGCATAAAGAGAAGTGTGCAGCCGTCACTGTGACTAGAGCCTGTGACCGGGCTTCTGCAACCACCCTGTGTCATAGATGAAGAACCGGCAGTGGGCCGCACCGCTGAGACGCGTAGGGAAGCCTCCGAATGCTGCCTCTCCGCTCATCGTCTTCTCAGGAAATACCGGTTCTCGGCATTTAAAACTGAAAAAATATTTTCACTGGCTGTTAAGTTAGGAGCTTGGAAACCATCTGCAGTAGTCAGTATCTATCATGGAAGTTTCACCCTTCTGGTATCTAGATAGCTTTTAGCTAGAAATCTTTGCGAGTATGTTTTAGGAAGTCGTACCGTCTTTAAAATGCTGAAGCAAGGGAGGAAACACAGAAAGTCTAGCCCCTATAGGTAACATTTTCATGGCTCATTAGTGTTCTGGTTTCTCTTGTGCAAAAATAAAGTCTCAACTCTCTCTCCTTTACAGCATTTGGCCCTGGCTGATTTCTCTTCTAAATAGTTTCCACCCCCATGAAGAGGATCTTTCGAGTACTAATGGTAAGGGCCAGCTTGGCCTCGTGTTGTTGAGATTGTTCTTCATCACTAATGGTGGGCTTCCGGCTGGAGAAAACCAGGTTTCTTCTTGCATGTTTATAAAGTTGAGTATGTCAGAAGTGACTTCGAACTGGACACCGACTGAGTGGGAGGAAGCAGGTGATGTTCTCCCAGCAGCTTGTTCTCCTGGTCGGCTCATCTGAAACAGGAGTCGGAGGGCGCGCTGCCGCCCAGTTCTTTCCGTCCTCCTTGCCTCCTTAAACCTTCTGTTTAAGGTTAAAAAAACTAACGTGACTGGCACTACTCTGTCGAAGTAAGATTTGCATATCATAAAACATTTGGGACAGATGTAAAGAACGCAAGTCGCTCATGGCTCAGACAGAGGCACTTTGTGCCGTTGGCGTGGCAGTGTGTTTTCTGTGGGCCATTTTGGTGTGTACGCACACAGCCTGCAGGAGAGTGCATTTGCTTTCAAATTCTTTGAAACATTTTGAAACACAATTTTTACCAGCTGCATAATATTCCGTGATGCAGATGTGATGTGATTTATTTAACCATTATCCATTTGCTTCAAAATTTTCTCCATTATAAGTAATTCTCCTCTGAATAATCTTTAGTTGACTCGTTTCTGATTATTTTTCTTCCATTAGGTCAGTGCTCTTTAAGTGTTAGGTTTGCACGTCAGTCACCTGGGACCTTGTTAAAATGCAGTTTATGATTCAGTAGGTTTGGGATAGTGCCCAAAAGTCTGGTTTCTCCCAGGTGGTATCAGTCTTTTTATCCAGTACTGTGGGATTACTGGGTCTGAGGCTGTGAACTTTTAAGACTGCTGAGAAAAAGCCACCCTACCCTCCTCCTAAGCACGGGGGAGTAGGTGAGGATCAGGACAACGCTTACAGTCCAGAGACCACGAACAGGGCTTCGGCAGGCCCGTCATTTTATCAGGATTATTGCTATAAAGAGGATTTAGCAACCAGGAACATCATACAGTTCCGTATAAAAGACACCCTTCTGCTTAGTAAGCAGTATTCTGAACAACAGTATTTTAATTCAGATGTTTACAAATCTTGTTTTCTCCCCTTCTCTAGCAACACCACTTCCAGAGGAGTTTGAGTTACAAGGATTCTTGGCTCTGAGACCTTCTTTCAGGTGGGTGGCGGCAGGGGACGGGGAGTCGGTCTTGGTGGCTGAGGTGTTACAGTGGGCGGGACCCAGGCTCGGGTGTAGGAGCGCCTCTCATCTTTCTCAGCTTTGTCGTCTTTCCCATAACATGCACTGATAGTAAAAGTCGTCGATGTAAAATGGATTTGAGTATGTCGTGCCTTTAGTTCTATATAATACCAATAGCAAGTGCTTTAAAAATGTGGAGGAAAGGAAAATTGCTTCTTCCAAGTGATATTTATTTACTTTTGTGCCTTTCTTGAAATGAGGGGGAAGTCTCAAAAATGGGAACCAGATGTAAACAAAATGATATTGCTCGACATATTTTGTATTAATACAAGAATAAAGTAGTCTGTTCTTCCCATCGTTCTTTGTCTCTGTTCCTCCTCTCTCAGGGAAATAACTTCTTACTCCTTTTCATGTCTAACCCTTTCACCTGAGTCCTTGATCTCATTCCTTCCTGCCTCCCCCCAAACTTGGCTCCATCTGTCCATCTCTCCCTATGTTGTATTTTCAGTATCCTAATTTATTTTCAACAACCAATTACTTCCTTTTGGCCTTGTTATAATCGAGTGTGCCATATTCTTTGTAGTAAAACTCACAGCTTCATTATTTTCACCTTATTTAATTGTCCTTAGCCTGCCTCTGTTGGTCACTTTCCGTCATGAAACCTCCTTTTCGTTAGCTCTGCAACACCACGCTTGTCCTTCCGCCTGAAGACTCAGCCTCTGGTGTTCTTTCTCCTGCACTGCCTGCTGCGGAGCATTGCCGTTCTCCACGGTGCTGCCCCGGCCCTTCCCTCCCGCTTTCTGCCTTCTCGCGGTGCTCGATCCATCCCTTTGTCTTGAACTTTCATCTCTTGGATACTAAGTCCATAGTTTTCAGTTCTGTTGAAAAGAGAACTGAAAAGCTTCCTACTACAAAAAGCTTCCTAATCAGCTTCTGGACCGAGAGTCCCTCTCTTGCTGTGCTTTATTTCTGCCCTGTTTCCACATTCTGTTTCTGAAGTAGAGACCTGATGACGGATGCCCCGCTGCTGGTATGGAAGCACTCGTCCCAGTGGTGTGCCGTCCAGGTGCTTGGTTTTTCCGTGTATTTTCTGTCACTGCAGTGCTTAATATTTCAGCCACATTTTCCACTTCTGCCCTCCTCTCACCAACACCTACCTAAACATACTATACAGTCACGCGGTTGTCTTCTTAAATAGCTGTTTTTATTCCTCCAGAACTTTGTTCATGTTATACCTATGACTTTGTTCATGTTATACCTGTGACTTTGTTCATGTTCTTTGTCTTATGAACCTGTAAGTACTCACCCGTAACTGGCCAACCTCTAGCTCAGATACCAACTATTTTGTGAAACCTTTTCAGAGCTTATCAGAGGGAATTAACACTCCTCTTTCTACTGTCCTTTCTTATTCTTGGCATAGTGTTTTCTCCGCTTCACTGGATTTCTTTTAAAATCTTTGGGAATATAAATTCAAACAAATGTAGCAGATTATATCAAGTAATTGGCCAACCTGTATGGAAAAATCTGAAGCCATTTCAGTTCATTGGGTAAACTTGGTTGCCTGGAAAATATCTTTAACAGCTTAGCTTTTTGTAACTTGTTTATATCAATTTTAGGAACTTGGATTTTTCCAAAGGCCACCAGGGGATCACAGGAGACAAAGAGGGGCAGCAGCGGCAGATACGGCAGCAGCGCCTGATCTCTATAGGCAAATGGATCGCCGATAATCAGCCGAGGTATTCCTCACTGGCTACACATAACACCCCCCTGTGCTTTAGTCTTTGGTGTAATGCTGTTGATTGTGAACTCTTAAGACAGAACGTTGGCAACATAAATTGTGACCCTAGTGATCATTATACTCTCAAATTTCTCTTCATTCCATCACACTGTCTGTTGTAGAGGGACTGGCCTTGCCCCCTTGTTTATCATGAGCTTCTGCTCTGATTTATAAACATCTGTGCAACTGAGCGAGAGCAGCTAAGTTGTCTGCACACAGTTACGGTGCTTTACGTGGACAGGCACAGCGGTCAGTTTCAGTCAGCACTGACCAGGATGGGGCCCAGCGGCACAGGTTTGAGAGTCAGGCGGATCTGAGTTCGGGTTCTCGTTCAGCTGCTCCCCCAGCCGATCATAACCTCTCCAAAGTTGGTCACTGTTTCATAGTCATTTTCGTGTTGAGGTTCCTGTCATACTGGGAACACTTGCATGGTTGCACGTCCAAATGAACTTACTATAACTCTTGGCTCAGGTTTCACTCCTGTACAATAGGAATTATAGATGGTTATAGACAGCTGCCTCACGGGCCTAATCTAATACCTGTACTTAAAACATGCTCAGTGACTGTAGCTGTGCTTCCTGGAAAACATGAAAAGGGCATGGAAATGTGCTGTGGTGCTGAGAGTCGAGTGTCTGCAGAACTGTTCTTTGTGTTACCTGAATCCACATTGTTAGAGGCTGGGAATGTTTTGACTGTTGGATCCGTACGCAATTCAGGTTTTATTGTTTTTTAGGATTGTGTTCATATGTGGATTTATTTTTACTTTTTTAGGCTGATTCAGTGTGAAAATGAGGTAGGGAAATTATTGTTTATCACAGAAATCCCAGAGTTAATACTGGAAGACCCCAGTGAAGCCAAAGAGAACCTCCACCTACAAGAGACACCCACGACAGAGTCGCTGGCTGCGGACGGGAACCCGGGGCTGAAGTCGGTGCTGTCCACGGGCCGAAATCTAAGCAACAACTGTGACACCGGAGAGAAGCCCGTGGTCACCTTCAAAGAGAACATTAAGCCCCGAGAAGTGAACAGAGAGCAGGGAAGAAGTTTTCCTCCCAAAGAGGTGAGAAGGGACTGTAGCAAAGGAGTAACTGTAACTAAGAATGATGGAAAGAAGGACAACAGCAAGAGGAGAACAGAGCCCACGAAATGCACCTTAGGAAAGTTGCAGGGAACAGGAAAGCAGAGTGTGGCAGTGCAGGTAAGCTGTCTGTGACCCACACAGCAGGTAGAGGAAGGCTCACACGAAGGCAAGAGTTTCCATTTCGTCCCTAAGCCTTGAGGGGGGCCTGTCCTGCAAGCCGGAGTGCGTTCTTCAGCGCCGCTCGGTGAGGCCCTGGAAAGAGCTGAGGTAGTAGGCGGTCACTTCATTGACCGCTGGGAATTGTCATGTGAGTGACAGAGTCTTAACCTGCTTGGCATTTTTATCAGTTCTCTTCCGTCTCAGTGGTTTGAAATGTCCAGTTGCAGAGCTGTCAGTTCTGCAAAGACTTGCGTTTTCTCTGGGAGGTAGTATTGCCATTTGTTAATGCTGTAGTGAGAAATTTGGGGTCTTTGGTAGATCCAGTAGAACTAAGAGTATATTAAGTTTTGGGGGTTTTTAGACTCACTGTACAGGGTGAAATGTGTTCTTACAGCGAGATGAGGCCCTCTTCCTTGACATCGGTACCCGTCCTGGCCAGCAGCACATCAGCACTTCGGTGTAACACTGGCTCCAGGGAAGTTGGGAGGCCAGAGCCCAAGCAAGGACGTGGCTCAGTTATTGGCACCTTTTTTTACACCTTTCCAAAGAGTTACAGATGACTCTGTATAAAAGGAAAGGGGTCTTTACTTTCTATTAGTTTTATTAATACTGTTAATCTTTGAGTAAAAGCCGTTTGTTTTGTTAACACATTTTGGCAAATAGATTCGCAGTAGGTATAAGTAAGGATTCGTACATTATTGAAGGTTGCTTGCAAATAAAGTGCCTCCAGTGTGTTTTCTCACAGGAGTTTGGCGGGGAGGGAAAGGGAAGAATAAGAACATTTTAAGATTACTAGTGGGGGGGAAATGAAGAGAAAAATATGGTAGAAATTAAGAAAAGCCATCGAGAGAGAGAGGTGCCGGGGAAATCCTAGATGAACTCTGGCTGAGGGATCAGTGTTTTAGGGGTAAAGAGCCCAGCACCTCCTGCCTGCTCTTCCTCGTTGTCTCCCCCCCCTGCAGTCTGCCTAGTGATGACTGATTAGGTTTAGGGGGCCTGGTCGCACCAGTGCACCGCCGCCCTCTGCACCTCGGCCGAGTTGTCTGTCCCCTCACTGCACTCGTCTTGAGCAGTGCGGGTGGCGTCCACTCCTCTCTGGCTCCGGGCATGGGATCTCAGGGCCTGTTCATTGGAAAGTGTCCTTATTTGTTTGGAAGGGGGTGTGGTCGCAGGGTGGAGGGTGGATGCCTGACTGATGCCCTTTCGGCTGCCCAGATGCAATCAAGCTTTGGGCCAGAGTGGGTCATTAGTAATCCTAATTTATGTGCGTCATCTGATGAACTAGAGTGTAAAGAGCACCGGGGCCCGTAATAGGCACCTTAAGATCATAGGCAAGTTTTTAACCTGTTGGCATTGGGTGTCTCATTTGTGAAACAGGAGCTCTCAGGTCCTTTCCATATTTGATGTTTTTATGATTTTGTGAGGGCAAAATAATTATACTAGCGAAACTAAGCCCATATGTCTTATTGACACTTAAGTGATCTGTCTTGATTTTCCTCTTTTTAATTTAGGTGAATTTAAATATCTTCAACATACACTTTTTTCTCGGAGCGGTTGCTTCTTTCTGACACATTTGGGTTACGGAATATCATAGTTTCGCTTCTGTCGGTCACAGGTAAAGTCCCAGGTGGAACTCAGAAAGACTCCAGTGTCTGAAGCCAGGAAAACACCCGTAACTCAAACCCCAAGTCAAGCAAGTAATTCCCAGTTCATCCCCATTCATCACCCTGGAGCCTTCCCTCCTCTTCCCAGCCGGCCAGGTGAATATGTCTTATCATTTCTTCTCCTTAATCCCTCTGTGTAGGAGTTTCTGTTCATTCACTGAGTCATTTATACGCTGTTGGAGTGGCAGGTTTTCCCTAATGCTTGTGAAATTGTTTGGAGCCATTTCTCTGGAAGTTTGTATATAAGTGCGTGTGTGTTACCCCGAAGGAGTTCCTACCACTAGACATGATCTTCAGAACACTGCAGTTACTTAAGTGGATAGAAGTAGCAGCCACTAGTCTATATTAAATTATTGAAATGCAATTTAAGATTTTCACTTGATCGGTCTTACCTGATGGTCGATCCATGCCTTTTATAACTTATGAGAAAACCTCTTTCCCACCCTATCCCAACCCAAATTTACTTTTGCCTTTTATTTTTCTATTTCTTTGGAACTAAAGCTGTGTTCTTTTATTTTAAAGGGTTCCCGCCCCCAACATATGTTATCCCCCCTCCTGTGGCATTTTCTATGGGCTCAGGTTACACCTTCCCAGCTGGTGTCTCTGTCCCAGGAACCTTCCTTCAGCCTACAGCTCACTCTCCAGCAGGAAACCAGGTGCAAGCTGGGAAACAGTCCCACATTCCTTACAGCCAGCAGCGGCCCTCTGGACCAGGGCCGATGACCCAGGGACCTCAGCAACCACAGCCACCCTCCCAGCAACCCCTCTCATCTCTACCAGCTCAGCCAACAGCACAGTCTGCAAGCCAGTTGCAGGTTCAAGCTCTAGCTCAGCAACAGCAGTCCCCTACAAAGGCTGTACCAGCTTTGGGGAAAAGCCCTCCTCACCACTCTGGGTTCCAGCAGGTAGGTGGCACGAAGGAGGGGAGGCTGAGATTGGCCAGTATTCATTCATTAAAAATACTAGTCACACTTTCAGGTACCGCACCTCTTAGACTTGTGATGATGATGAGAATATGACAGCATTCTCTTCGCTGATTAGGAAAGTTCAGACGTTCTCCTTTGTACTTTTGTGAAGGGTAGTAGACCTTGACTATCTGCTGCTACTGCTTGTCAGTCTTCTCGGAAAGGATTTCTGTACCTATTTCCTGTGTGAAGATAAACTGCAGAAGGAAAGTAGAGTCATAATCTTGATGAGGTGTAAACAGTTGTAAATATTGTCATCTTCAGAGCACTTGACACCAGAGGGGCACAGACACACATACACTCATTAAACCTCTCCAGTAATTGAACTGAAAGACAGAACATGAGTTCAGTCCTTGTAACCTGTACCCAGGAGGCTCTCTGTGTGTTGCAAAGCCTGAAGGGTAAAGGAAGTTGGGGTGTAGGGGTGTCAAAGTCATTTTCACGGGGGCAGCCCACATCCGCCTCCCAGTTGCCTTCAAAGGGCTGAAATAATTTTAGGGCTGTATGAACGTAACTGCTCCGAACTGCTAAGGAGTTGAAGTTACATTCGGCCCTTTGAAGGCAACCTCAAGGCTGATGTGGCCCCCGGTGAAAATGAGTTTGACATCCCTGGCCTAGAGTGTTGTTGATTGTAAACCCCATCGAATTTGTTCTGTGATTCCTGAGTACTTAGTGTAAGTGACATTGCTAGTGACCCTCGTCCTGATGACAGGCATCTCTTTTTTTAGTATCAACAGGCAGATGCCTCCAAACAGCTGTGGAATCCCCCTCAGGTTCAAGGCCCATTAGGGAAAATCATGCCTGTGAAACAGCCCTACTACCTTCAGACTCAAGACCCCATAAAACTGTTTGAGCCGTCATTGCAGCCTCCTGTGATGCAGCAGCAGCCTCTCGAGAAGAAAATGAAGCCTTTTCCCATGGAGCCATATAACCACAACCCCTCAGAAGTCAAGGTCCCAGAATTCTACTGGGACTCTTCCTACGGCGTGGCTGATAGCAGAGCTGTGATGGCCCAGCAAGCGAGTTTGGACCGCAGGGGCAAGCGGTCACCAGGTGTCTTCCGTCCAGAGCAGGACCCTGTGCCCAGGATGCCATTTGAGGTGTGTGTCTTTTCCTCTCACCAGGCACTTCCGAGCCAGGGCGGGGCTGCGTGTCTGGAATTTCTCGGGGACTGGTTTGGTGAAGGCCGCTGTGACCCCTCAGTGTTACAGATGCTGCTGAGCACCGGGCGCAGCGCTCGGTCTCCCCTTCGCAGCTGCACGGCCCGTCTGACTCCAGGAGCCGGGGGTCCTGTTGCGGATTCTGGGCTCGGGCGGTCCGGCGGAGCAGCCCTGCGCACACCTCCAACCCAGCGCTGTGGAGGCTCCGAAGCAGCCCCCCTGGCTGCACCGCAGCGTCTGAGTTTAGGAGTAGGTTTGCTGCACATTTGAAAAAGCAGCTTGCTTTCCGAGGGGAACACAGCCAGTTACCTTGATAGTGGAGCCCCTTCCTGCCCTTTTTATTCCCAGAGATGCAGGTTTGTAACTCGCTTATTAGCACGAGGTAAGCAAGTCACTGGGCTCCATTGCATTGTCTTACTCACTGGCCACTTCACCTTTTCTGTTCTGCTCTGTGTCAGTATGTCTGCCTCTCAGTGTGGTGTCGATCTTCTCGCCTGCTGTCCTGTGTCACTTTGCCTTCGTGTTTCAGAGCCTTTTCCTCTCTGCATAACACCGCCTCACTGTTCATTACTTCCTCCTCCTCGACTTGAGTCCCCTTCTCCCCCTAATCTTGCTACTACTGTAGTGCTTTTTCGTCCCTGTCGCGTCTCACTGTGACCCTTTCTGTCACTAGGACCCCAAAGGCTCCCCTCTGCTTCCTCCGGACCTGGTAAAGAGTCTGGCGGCCTTGGAGGAAGAGGAAGAGCTGATTTTTTCTAACCCTCCTGATCTTTACCCAGCTCTGCTGGGGCCTCTCGCCTCTCTTCCTGGAAGAAGCCTTTTTGTATGTATTTGACGTAATTCTTGCTCTAACCCAGCTGCTTTTCTAAGATTTTGGAATAGGTGATTTCTTCTTTGGGGGGGGCTTTTCTTTTTCACGGAAATGCCAAATTTTGTCCCCAATGGCCCGCGCTGCCCTTCAAACGGTGGTAGAACATGGCAGGGACGTTTCCGACCGCCTGGTCCCCGAGTCCTTCCGTCCAGGCTCCGCTAGACTCCGGCTCCTGCAGGCCTGCTCTCACGGGACGTGGTGCTGGCAGAGGGGCCGCTTCTTAGAGCCACTGCCACCTGGGCCCAGGGGTTTCAGTGTCATTTAGTCTGGTTCAGGAACAGTAAGAATTTTTTCTCATGTACTCAAAATGGGAAATGAAATAATGTCCTCACTCAATGATATGTTTATTGATATATTTTCAAGAGAGAAAGAAGCATCAATTGGTTGCCTCCCATGCACATCCCGACCAGGGATCAAACCTGCACCCTGGTACGTGCCCTGACCCGGGGTTCAAACCTGCAGCCTTTTGGTGCAGAGATGATGCTCCAACCATCTGAGCCACCTGACCAGGGCTCCTGTTTGTAGTTTTTTTACTGATGTGTTTGAATGATATGTGGCTCTTTTCTGTTTGGTTAATTAATTAACAGCCATGCTCAGAGCCAGAATTTTTAAAACAATGAGTAAAAAGGAAGAGGATTCGATTTACAGATGCTGTTGGAGTGCCATAAATGAGCAGACGCAGGGGTGAATAACCAGGGCGGTACAAGGTGAAGGAGTGGGTTGGCTCCCTCTTCTAGAACCCGGGCTGCGTCTCGGGCGCCCCACCTGCACTGGCGGCGTTTGCTGAGCTGGGAGGAAAGAGGAGGAGGTGCGCTGGGAGGTGTCTTCCGTCCCTTCGCTTCACCTTAAGAAGACGTAAAGCAGTTTGAGTTTTAATTTCTTTCTTCCCCATAAACACGGAACAAGAAAACTAAGATCGTAGTGCAGTGACTTTAGTATTAGGGGAAACAAAAGCTGGATGGTGCTCGTGGCAGAAGCTGCCATCCTGGCACTTGAAGTTCCCTTGAGAATTTGCCTGAATGAGTGACCATAGACAGCTCCCACTCCCCGCCCCCCCCCCCCCAAGTGAGCAGAAATAAAATCCCCTAAAAATGGTAATGGTGGTGGTGCCCTGACAGCCCCTGGGAGTGTGGATGGCCCTGCGGGGAAGCTGCTGTCTCTAGCCCTTGGCCTGCCTTGCTGGGGCGGCTGTGCAGGGGGCGGGGTGTCTCCGTCCACCTGCTTCCTGAACCCTTGTTCCCTTGCACTCACTCCCTCCATAGGAAACGGAGCCCATGGAACACACTGGGGGGGCGGGCGTGTTAGTGTTTTTGTCTATGCTTTTAAGACACCTTGACTATAACCTTTCTGTTTTTAACGTTGCTAATGATATGATGTGTGTGAAAGCGACTTGCACGTAGTAGGTGTTTAATAAAAGTATTGATGACCAACTGTTTGAAGACAGTGAGCATCACAGATTCAGCTTTTTTCCCTCTAATGAGACTCTCAGAGCTAATGAACAGAAACTCGACTTTAGCAACTTTTAATACAGAGCGGGGCAAAAGCAGGTGTACACCTTTTTGTATGGAAGAAGTACAAGAAGAAACAGATAATACAAGAATAAACTGTTTCCCATACACAAAAGCGTAACCCTTCTTTTGCCAACCCAGTGCAAACCACAGAGAGCTGCTTAGGGAGCAGGCTCACAAAAACAGTGTCACGTGGACTTGCAAGGCTTTTCTTAAGTTGTTCATGTCAGCGTTTTAAACACTGGGGGAGAAAACAGCGCCTGATCAGCCCAGCCTCTGGTTTTGAGAGTTCTCCAGGGCCTGTTCCTGCCGGGGTCTCTGTGCTCGCTGACAGCACCTGCTGCAGCAGCTGGCCCTTCCCTGGGGTCATGGTCTTAACAGACCCACACTCACATCTGTCTGTAAGCCTTAATGTCGTACGTGAATGGGGGGGGGGTTCTGGCACGTTCAAACTGTGGTCTTTTACTTGGCTGTATAGTGTCTTAAGGTTCACGTTAAGGCAGTGGAAGGCTTAATTTAACTCCCTTTTTTTCTGGGACTGTGAAGAAATCCTTATTGGAGAAGCCCTCCGAGCTCATGTCACATTCATCCTCCTTCCTGTCCCTCACCGGATTCTCTCTCAACCAGGTGGGTGCACCACGAAGAGCCCCGCTTGCACTGTCGCCGTGGGCCCGTGGGTTCTTTCTGGTCCCCTCCAGCGCGTCTGTGCTCCTCCTTCGTGTGCGGGCAGCTTCTGGGCACTGGGCATTTCCTCTCCCCCTTGATGAGGGTGCTCCGAAGACGCCTCGTGTGTCACAAGTTTGAACCCTTTCACTTTTCATTCACACTGAGGTCCTTAGGGCTCTGTGTAGCGAGTAAATTATTCAGACTTTTTAACACGGGTGAGTCGCACAGATTGGAGCAAAATAAAGGGTGAGGGGAAGCAAAGGGAGATGAATTTAAGAGGAAAACTGAAAAATAAAAGCCTTCAGAATTTGTCTTGTTAAGAAAAGCCTGAGGTCTGCAGCACCTGTGGAGAGAATTACGGCATTCTCTTGGGCAGCTCTCCCTTTAGTGAGTCTTTGTGACTGCGTTGTTGTTACCTTTCAGGAGAGGTACCCGAATAACAGTGTGTTCAACGAGGTGTACGGGAAAAACCTGACGACCAGCTCCAAGGCCGAGCTGAATCCCTCGGTGGCGCCGCAGGAGACGTCACTGTACTCCCTGTTCGAAGGGACCCCATGGTCCCCATCGCTTCCTGCCAGTTCAGGTCTGGACCGCTCTTTAAATTACAGACCTGATGTGACCGGTAAATTGAAATGGAGTTCGTATGATTCTGTAATTATAAATACATCAGGTCAATTTTTTAAAGTAACTTCTGAAAAAAAAAGTAGAAAGAGAAAAAGGGCGACGAGCTGGTTTATGTCTACGCAGACACCTTTCCACGTGCTCAGTCACCAGCTGAGCCGTCAGGGAGAAACGCACGGCTCTGTCTTAAGGGTTTCAGCTGCTTTTAGTTTTGTTTGTAGATACTCATACTTCGTGGGAAAAACTGCAGTTTTTAAAGTAGAGATTTTTTTAATTCCTATTTTATAAGTGGAGTCTGATTTCACAGTTGTTAAGGTTAGGCAGTTCTCATGCGTTGGCCAAAAAGTTCATTTGTTTTTTCCTGAATGATGGCTCTAGTAGCACTTAGTTGACTTTAACTTTATTCAAAACAATTTTGTTAGATCGTATTATGACAGCTGTCATAACAGCATGCATTAAAAAAGAACTTAGAAGTTGGTGAATTTTTATGTAGCCATTTTAACATTGAAGGTGGAAGAAAATGAAACATTTTCAGCATATTATGTATGCTTTATTATTTCAAGAAAGGTAAAAATGCAACTGAAACGCAAACAAAGATTTGTGTAGCATATGGAGAAGGTCCTGGGACTGATCAAATGTGTCAGAAGTGGTTTGTGAAGTGTCGCACTGGAGATGTCCCTCTGGACGATGCCACACAGTCGGGCAGACCAGTGGAAGTCGACAGCGATCAAGTTGAGGCAAATTGAGAACGGTCAGCGTCATACCACACGGGAGACCGCCGACATACTCACCATGTCCAGATCAGTCAAGTCATTGGCGGAAATGAAAAATGTGTGTTTTATCGTGTGGAAAAAACCACGCAGACTTTTTGGTCAACCCCAGTGTCCGCTGGTACCAGTGGACACTTCACCTGAAACAGGCCACGTGAGTGCACGCGCACCGCAGAGTTGTCTGCTGCTTCGTTCCGGTCCAGGGCGAGGAGTGTTCCTCCATCAGCTCTGTGAAACGACTCGTGCATCCAGCAGAGCCCGTTCTGGGCCCTGGGTTTGCCTTTCCTCCACAGCCCTGTGGTTATTTTCAGTAGAATTTGAATGATCAGGTCTGTGGAAAACTTCAGGTCTTAGTATGTTTGTGGGACAGCTTCCCTACCTGATGCTCTCTCTTGCTGTCATTTAATAGATCATTCAACACCAGCCAGCCAGTCTCCGCATTCCTCTAATCCAAGCAGCCTGCCAAGCTCTCCTCCAACCCACAACCATAATTCTGTTCCGTTCTCCAATTTTGGGCCCATTGGGACTCCAGATAACAGGGAGAGGAGGGCTGCAGATCGGTGGAAAACTGATAAGCCAGGTGAGACCCGACTACACAGGCCTGAAATGGCTTACTCTGTCTTTCCCTGGCTTTCGGCATCTGGCAGTGATAAAATACCTTCTCGAATTCTTATCTCTTTTCATCCCTTAGCCATGGGCGGGTTTGGCATTGATTATCTCTCAGCAACATCGTCCTCTGAGAGCAGCTGGCATCAGACCAGCACCCCGAGTGGCGCCTGGACAGGCCATGGTCCCTCCATGGAGGGTTCCTCCGCTGTCCTCATGGAGAGCCTGAAGGTGAGTGCGCGTCTGCTTTCACTCACCTCAGTAGCTGGGTTCGTCCCCGGGGCCCTCAGAGGTGATTGATGAATAGCACATGCCTAGCGAAGTTCTAGAAGCATGGCCTGCCTTGTAAGGTTCTTGAATGGGGTCTTTGTTTTTGATTTGCGAATTTATTAGTGATGAAGCATTATCGTCAGGGGAACAGAGACACAGATGTCCTACTAGTTGCGTTCTGAGGTTAAGGACATTCAGATTCATCTTGGGATGTTTGATTTAAGCCTTTTCTAAACAAGAAAAAGAGCAGTGTATAAACAGTAAATACTCTGTGGTCCCACAGGGAGCTGAGTTTTAGTAAAAAGACAATAGAAAACATACTTTTTAGCTTTTCAGTCCTAAATCTTTACAGGATCTAGTCTTTAGGACAGTCCTACAATTCCCTTTTCTAAAAGCTGGATTTTTTTAGGGGGTGGGGTCTTGGGACGTCAGGCCTTTGTATTTGGGTAGGATTGGAAACCAGACCCTTTCAGACAGCCAGGCCTCGACCTCTGCTGACAAGCCGTGGGCTGTTTTTCAGTCTATCTGGTCCAGTTCCATGATGCATCCTGGACCCTCCGCTCTGGAGCAGCTGTTAATGCAGCAGAAGCAGAAACAGCAGCGGGGACAAGGCACCATGAACCCTCCACACTGAGGCCAGAGTGGCGACCCTGGGAACGAAGGCTCCATAAACCACGGCATGTTGGGCATGCAGGCCTGGCCCACGCAGCCCCTGCGGGTGGCAGCCCTCTCTTCTGCTCCCTGCCGTCGAGAGGGTGTAAGTGTCCCACCAGCCCGCTGAGTGTGCACGAAATGTCCGCAGTGCAGCAAAACGAAACACCGTCGGGAACTCTCCGTCCCCCGCCCCCCGGGGCCTTCCAGAGGGAGAGGAACTGCTGTTTGTCTCGCTCAGTTACCTGGTGGCATCGCCGCTCACCTTCTCCGTCGTGCATGTCCCCAGCCACGTGGGAAGTGAAAGCTGAGAAGGGAAGGCAGGTGGGAGAAGCCAGTGGGAACTTCTCAGTCCTTTTCTCCTCTTTGGGGAATAAAACAGGAATCCATTAATGATTGCTTCGCTGACTGAGAATACAGTTGGAATTACTCCTCAACATCTTTTATTATTGTTATTTCTCTCAGTAGTAACAAGTCACACTGAATTCTTCCACACACAGACGTGCTTCTTCTAGTCCGTGTGTAGCGAGGAGAGCCCCGGTCGCCGCTCCTGTGCGCGGTTGGCGGTGACAGGATGGGGCTGCGGCCTCTTCAGCCAGTGGAGGTGCCCTGCCAGGGCGAGTCCAAGGCCTCACCGTCCACTCGGAGGTCCCGGGAGGCCCTCCTCTAGCCCGGAGACTCCAGCAGGAAACGCCCTCCGCTCTGTCGGTGCTCAAGCCCCAGTCGAGGGTGCAGTGTGGGTGGTGGTGCTGGGCTGGGCCAGCAGGCGGCCGCTGCAGGGTTTCCAGTGAGTGTCCAGGTTCCTGTACCTTTTGCGATGGCGGGGCAGGCAGCGTCACAGGAGGCGGGCCAGTCTGTTTGTGGCCTGACGTTTGATAGGTAGAAGCTCTCAGTGTGGTTATTTCGTTGGGTTGGATTCTGCGCCCCTGTCCCGCTTACCACCCCTCCTCCCCTCCCCGCTCCATCCCTTTCTGCGCTTTGCTATCCGCCAGTAATTGTCTCTGTTCCTAACGTGTACGACATCACGCCAAGGAGCGACAGACAGCATGGGGCCGAGCAGCCGGGCCCGAAAGACAGCGTGGAGAGGAAGGAAGCAGCGGCGCCTGAGCGGCCGCAGAGGGGCAGGGCCCGCGCCCAGCCACAGCCCCCGGCCTCCACCTTCAGAGCGAAATGCAAGGCAGTGTGGACTCGTGTGCGTCACGCACAGAAGAAAACACGACGAGGTCCGTTCTGGAAGAAGCAGAAGACAGGAAAATGAACTTTTACTGGTATTTATTGGGAGGAGAGAGGACTGAAATTTTCCTTGTGTAGAAACAGGACAGCATTTCTGTTAGTCATTTCCTGGGAAAATGGTATTTTAAGTGGAAATTATGGAAACAATCTAAATGTCCAATTGCTGTGCTAGTGGTAGGGTTTATTTTGGGGGGTCTTGCCTCTGTGTGCACGTGCGTGTGCGCGGTCAGGTGGGCTGTGAGAGCTGGGGCAGCTGCAGAGCAGAGCGCGTCTGGGAGCCCCGGTTGCCCTGGAGTGGGGGCAGCCCCAGCGATGGAAAGGGGTGAGATCCACGCGCACTGCTCTTCAGAGAGGGCCGTTGGAGTCCCGTGTGCGTACATCATTGCTCTTTCAGTTTGACATAGTGTTCGGGTTTTTTTGTTCTGTTTCTTTTTGGGGGAAGGTCTGAAAGGGTGGAACCCCCCCCCAACCCAATGGCAATATGAAACCCTTTGTACTCTCCCCTGCCCCTTCCCTGTGCCCACCTCCCTCCGGCCCCTCCCTCCCAGGCCCCCGCCCTTCTTCCCTGCCCCACCTTGTGCGTGTGAGCTCTGCATTCAGGCAGCTGCGACATTCCAGTGTGCGACCCGTCACTGACTCGCACACCCTAGACCAGATGACCAGGCTTGCCGACCCGCTCCCAGGGGCACCCGCATCCCCTCTGCAGCCCCCTTTCTGCATGAGCATTTGGTGTTCGGAATGTTTTCTGACTCTGGGGGCGCCCGCCTCGCCTTGCCGCCCTCCGTGTGCAGTGGGGAGGGAGGACAGTCTTCGTCCGAAGCTGGTTTTGTGTAGTAAACCTCCTTTGTGTTGCGTTGCGTTTTGGTTTGGTTTTCTGTTTTGTTTTGGTCTGTCTGTGCAAGACCTGCAGCTGCCGAAATCAGCTTTGCCTTTAATTAAACCATGTTCTCTCCAACCAGACCTGTGTGTAGATGGTTTCTTTTTTACCTTAAAAGAAAATCCAACTTAAAAAACAAGACCTGAAACTGCTCAGAAGTCACCTAGGGGACAGCAGAGATGGTCCAAAGTCGAACACGCTTCATGGTTGGTTTTTAGTAGCATTTCAAGCCAATCTACATTAGTTTGGAAAGGGGTGGGTGGGAAGACACTGACAAAATTGTTTCATTTAATAAAGCATTGGCTTATGCAAAGCAGCTCACACAGCCACCCTTTCTCTTCCTGTCTCCTGTGCCGGTCCGCCTGGCCAGCGGCAGCCAGCTGGGCCTCTCCCTCCTGGGTATCGGGCATCGGTCCGCACTGGCCCTGTCTCAGGAGCAGGTGCACACTGAAAAATTGTCACAGTGTCCTGTGGACCCTGACAGAACAAGCAGGGGGGCGGGGGGATGGGGAGGGAGATCAAGGTCTGGTGTTTGTGGAACCCTTCATCCAAGTTACCTCTGAAAAGCAGGCCATTTGGTGAAATGACAACCAAAATAAAACCGTACTATTCTGTCTTCTATGTTCGTACTGTACATACTGTAGAATGTTAACTGATAGGATACTGTTAACCAGCTGGCTGCCCCAGCGGGCTGCTTCTGATCAGTTACGTGTTAGTGGCAGATATTCATTCCCGTTAAACTCTTAACAAACATTACTCTCCGAGAAGGCACGAAGGGACGTGACTCTCATGACTTCAGGGGAACCCAACTCAGTGCAGGTTCTGTTTATGCCCCCGACTCCCCTCCCCGGGCGGGGGGGGGGGGACTAACAGAACAGTTGCTTTTGCCTGTCTGCCTCCTGAGTTGTTTGGAAGCCCCAGGGGCCTGTGATACATGGTACAGGAATGGAGCGATTTCCATCTGGGCATTGGGCTGGCACTGTGGCCGTCTTGGTTTTTTATTTTTATCACATGTGCAGAGGAATGCCCCCAGTAATCACTGTACAACTCGCTGAGTTTCTCACAAAGTGAACACACCTGGGTAGCTAGCACTCAGCAAGAGACCAGCACCCTGGAAGGACCCCTCGTGCCCTTGGAGACACGTCCAACCACTCCCCCACCCCACCCCACCCCAAGGAGTTCCTCCTCAAATCTCATCGTTGTCTGATGGGTGCCACTGAAACAGGAGAAGGGAACACTTCCAAACCACGACAGTTTAACACAGTGTGCCATGGGGGCGTCCTCGGTCTTGCAAGGGAGATGGCACTTCTTCCTTCAACTCTGTGGGTTGCAAGATGTCCTAGACTTCCCTGGGAGTGCTGTCTGGGCCCACGGTGGCCCGGTCTTGCACGAAAGCCTTGGGGAAGATGCCGACCTTCCCTTTGCACTCCCCTTCCAGCCAGTCGTCATTCACTGAGGGAGGGGAGAGCAGAGACAGGTGTTCAAGACCTGCGCTGGGAGGATGGCCTCGTCCGGGTGTCCCCAGGGGTCATGGGTCCACCCCGCACCCCTGCTGTGCCAGTGGAGAAATGGTGGTGGACAGCGAATGGAGCTTAGAGGGAGCATGGACTTGGCCGGCTCCTTACAGATCCCCGAGTGGGGGACGAGGTGGAGCAGTGAACTGCAGGAGGAGGAATGGGATATTTCAAAGGGGGGAGTGAGATGAAGGAAATTGAGCGGTGATCTTTAGGTAGCTTTTTTTAACAGAAGAGTTTTATCTGAACTTCATTGGGAATCTGTGTTTTGACCGTGGGGAAGGGGCATGCCATTGGGAAGTGTATTGCACATGAATGGTTACTGGTAAGTAGCTGGTCCTAGTTGAGAGAGCTGGTGAGGGACTCAGTCCATGTTTGTAAAACAAGAATTTCATTTACTAACATGCGGAAACTGTACTAGGATATGTGTATATATATGTGTGTATATGTGTATATATATATATTTTTTTTCCTTTGGATTTCATAGTAACTCAGGTGTAGATATTCCCATTTTACTAAGGAAAAGGAGAGCGAGAGAGATTAATAGCTTGTTTGGGTTCACTCTGCCAGTTTCAGCCAGTTTAGGGGTGACCTGCTCCAAAGCCCATCTACCAGACCCCACAAGCAGTGCAGTCTGTCTTCAGATGTGCTCCGTCCAGATCGGACACGGGGTCCTGGTGCTTGGGTCCTGGCCCGGAAACCGCTCTAATTTGGTGGAGGGCGGCTGGGCACCAGCGTGTTTTCTAAAGTTCCCCCAAGGTGGTTCTCATTGCAGCCTGTTCGAGCTTTCCTGTTTAGAGCACAAGCCACGGACTGGAAGCATTGGCTTGTCCTGGATCCTGGGAGCATGTTAGAAATGCAACATTTCAGGCCCCAACTCTGAGTTCGGATTGGATTCCATTCTAACAAGATTCCCCAGGATCACATCCAAGCGTGAAGACCTGGGTGAGCGAAACCAACTCATGACCTTTGGACACAGGTGAACTCACTCCCAGCATCACCCGGGATTTATGCTGAATTCTGTTTTCTATTTACTTGTTAGGATAAAGTTTCAAAACATTGCATGGGTGTTTTCCAGGTTAACTCCTACAGTCGGGAGTAGCACTCACCCATGGCTACAACCTGGATCACGTCCCCTTCCAGAAACGCCAGGTCTTCTGGTTGGGTGGCCTCGTAGCTGAAGAGAGCTACCACCTGGCTGCCCTCCTTAAACTGAGGCTCTGGTGTCTGGCGACTCCCCTCAGGTGTCCCGCTTTCCTTGGGTTCCTCTGGAAAGCCTTGGTCACCCTGAAACAACAAGGGCCTGTTAGTTTTCCTAACTCCCTGGGCAGTGAGCGGTGGACGTCGTCACTAAAGGGTGTGGTCAGTGAAATGTCAGGGCAGCGTGCGTGATGTGACCGCAAAGGCAGGTCTGGGGGCGGTGTCTAGCACAGACCTGATGTACTTCACGGACACGGGATGACTGGATGAACGAAGCTGAAGGTCTGCAGGGCCATGTGTAGTCCCAGAGTCTTACTGAAAACTTACGTAATTCATCCCAAAAAGATAGAGTGGGCACTATTGATAACTTCTTTCCAGATGGAGGAACAGGGGGACTTGCCAATGAGTGACAGGATGCAGTGGCAAACCTAGGTCTCCAGCAAAGTCCAACACCCTTTCCCCAGCACCCACAACTCCGGGGACCGTGTCAGAAACCCTGTGCGTGGGACCCAGCAATCTGCCTGAACAAGACCCGTAGGTGGGTAATTCTGGTCCCTGCTAAAGTTCGAGGACTGCGGCACAGTGCCCTGTGATTATCCAAGACCATGACCATGCATGTGATCTCTGTCCCACAAATGTGGAGGAAGGACGCAGAGTGTGGAGGTGCGAATCGCAGGACTTGAGAAATCAGCATTGGAGCCTGCAAGGCCGAGTGCTGTACTGTGTGTTAGAAGTGCCCGTTTGCTGGTGCAGTTCGCTCCAACCTGGGCAGAGCTGCTCTATGGGACGGCAGCACAACAGGGTGGAAGCAGCACCAAGGGGTCCAAAGACCAGGTTTGTGCCCCCGCTCCACTGCCTACCAGCATCGGAACCTCCCTGACCCTCCATTTCCTTGCCTGAGATGGGCCAGAGGGATGAAACGAGTGCCTGGTCAGCCTTGAGTTGCCATTGAGGACATGGCCCAGGAGAAACACCCCCTGAGGTGGCCCCGGGCTGGCCGCACTCACCACCGTGTTCTCACACCACAGAGTCAGGCAGTAGTTTTTCACCTGGCCCCAGGCAGCCTCCATACTGCCTTCTGAGAGGGGCACCAGCTCGTTGCTGTCCTTGGGCCGATAGCTGGGTGGGGACAATGAGGAAGCACCGCGTCATAGAGCTGCAGTGTAAAACCGTCCCCCTGTCCTCTAGGCCAGTGCCAGGTCCCCAGCTGTCCCCTCACTGCTACCTGCATGGAGCTCACCTCAGCTTAGTGTGTTCTGGCAAGAGCTGCAGTTTCGCAGATACCATGTCCCGGACCTGGCTGTAGGGGAGGCCAGGCTGCGTCTCCATGACGACCGTGTACTTGTAGTGCACCTTGAGTGTGTAGGGCATGGGGACGCTGAGCTTTACTTCCTGAAGGGAGAGGAAGCACAGGGAACTCGTGAGCCTCTGAGGCTTCCTCCAGCAACATCCTGGATTAGCATGGCTTTACTGGTAGTGCAGGGAGTGCTGTGTGTAGCCAGGGGCGAGGCCAAAAAGTAATAATACTAAGGGTCTTCGGAGGTTTTCCGGCCCTACTCTTGCTTGGATGGGGATCCCTGCTGCATGGGATCCGGCCCACCAGCCATGGGCCAATAGGAAATGTGTGCGGGGGGGTGGGGGTGAGAGGGGTCTGTAGTTTGTGGACTGTGAGTATGGTGGCGACTGGTCTACTCTCTCTTTGGGACTCTTCCTATCATCCAGGGAGACGCGCCCACGGTGGACAGCCAAGCTCTTCCATTCTCTCCCCCTTTAAATAGCACCAGGGAAAAAGGTTACCTTGGGCTCTTCTTCTTTCTGACCTAAAGGGAGAGGGTAAGGAGTGAAAAAAGAAGATGAATGAACACTCTTGACCAGGCTCCTCCGTACACAGGATGAAACCTCCTGGGACAGGGCACCCCACTCTGGGGAGCTGTGAAGAGCAAAGCCACGAGCCCACAGAGGAACCTGGCTGTGCTTCTAGGGGGCGTTGGGGTGATTTCCAAAGGGCCGCCCGTCCGCCCCAACCCACAGGGTAAGCAGGGGCCCCAAAGGCCAGTTACACCCACTGGCGGCAAAGCAAACGGAATGTGAGGTGAGCCAGGGGCCACAAGAAGAATTGGTGGACCCACTTATTTTTACCTTAGCCTTGATTTTTGCACACGTGTTTTTAATGTGATAGTGTATGAACAGGGCGATGTGCATATGATCGATGTCAGAGAAGTATGTATCCAAGTGCTGTGGGGGGTTCAGGACCAGACAGACTGATTTCAAACCAAGCCTGATCATTAAAACCACTCGGGAATTTTTTTTTCTCCAGAAATACATGTTCCTAAGCTTCATTTTAGTCCTGAAAAAGCAGAACCAAAAGCCTAGGAATTTATATGCTTAAGATCTTCCTAGGTTAATAGGAGATTCTCGATAGACCCCTTAGAAAGACAAAATGAAAGACATTAAGGATGCTTTGGAGAATGATTGGAGAAATCTGGACATATGCTAAACATTCTATAATACTAACATTAGACAATCCTAAGTATAATGGACCGTATTGGGGTCACGCAGAGGAACATCCCCGTCATTCGGAGACACACACTGACATGTGGGGCCAAGTGTCACCAGTCAGTAACTCAGGTGGCTCGGCCACTCAGAAAAAGTATCAGTATATAGAGGGCGGAGCAGGGCAAGCACATGGTGCAAAGCATTGACAATTGGTAAATTTGGGTGAAAAGTATCCTGGTATTTTTTGGACCATATTTTCAACTTCTCTGACATTTTACTAAATAAAAACGGGTATAGGGAGCACCCAGGGAATCTGATGACCCGGTGGGCGTGACGGTCAGTGATCTGGAATCTGGATATACCACCTGTCGGATGCCTGTCTACCAGACTTACTCAGACTCTGGTCACACTGCATTACAGACACAAAGCGAGTTACTGGCAGAGTCTCCTGCCCGCATCTGCCCCTCGGTTCTTTGACCCTGAGGGCTCTGTTGGTCAGTTTCTTTTCCAAGTAACAGAGTTCCACCGACCCTCTGGAAGGAGCCACTTTGGGGACATGGTTTCAGTTCTGACTGAGGGGTTTGGTGCTAGTCGAGTCTGGACTCTCTCTGCACCCCCAAACCAGCTACATTCACCCAGGCCCCATGGGTGTTCCGGAGCAGGGGTGGGGGGCATCTCCTTCCTGTGTCATGGGTGCGGGAGAGACTGGCCCTGGGGCCGTGTGGTCATCTGCCGGCTTGCTGAGAGGAGGAGAAACCAGCCTTTCCTGGAAGCAGCCTGGGGCGCTCCTTCCCCTGGGGCCTGGGAACTTGCTCCAGCAACACTAACCTGGTGACTGCAGGGGCCTTCCAGGGGCACTGGAACTGGGCGGAGCTGGGATGTCAGACTCCGGGGAGGCTTCCTCCTGGGGGTGACGGGAAGAGAAGACCATGAGGACCTTCATCCTGACCAAGTTCTTGGGCAAGAGTAAGAGTAAGGTAGAGGGAGCCCCTGCAGACCCCCAGGGAAAAGGGCCAGATGCAGTGACTTCCCACAAGTTCAAGTGATTGGGGCCACCCACGGGAGACGTGTGGATGCAGTGGGGAGGCAGGCCTGGCCTGGTGCAAACAAACCACAGTAGCAGTTAGAATCCTAGCCCCTCCCAGAGGCCCTGCTGCTGAATCCCCCGTCAGCCACACTGAAAATCCTCAGGGGATGGGGCAGGGTAGGACCCCGTGCTCTGGTCTTAGCTCACCCTCTCACGCCACACCTTGCCCCTTCAAAGGAAAAACCCCATCTCTCTTTGTAAGGCATCGAAACCTTTCCAAGTCATCCGGATGTCGTGGTTCTGACCAGGGAGGCCCAAGCCCACAGAGGACACCTGGTTCCTCGGCCCCCAGCCACCTACGCGGCTGCTCAGATCCGACAAAGACCACTCGCCAGGCCCAGCAGGAGGGCACTGAGGGGTCGTGGAGGGGGGGCGGCAGCTTCAGAAGTAGTGATGGGCAAAGCCTACATCATCAGTGCTCTAAAGTAGACCTCTATGTCGTCTTCTTTTTTTTAATGGTATTTCACCAGCCAGCACAGGCAAAGAGGGCATTTCTGGGAAGACCTAAACTTCATGTACTACGGGCTTTCGGATCCATGTCATCCATGAGCGGGAGGAATCAAAGGTGAGTGAGCCCAGGAGGTCCTGAAGATGCCTCCACTCTGCGCATCTGGGCCTTTCCCTGTACCCCAGGTGGTGCCACGAGAGGCCGGCTCAGGGCCAGCGAGTCTTTCTGATCAGGGCTCAGGACGGTGGAGTGGTCCATCAGTGGTTGGGGTGGGGGTGGAGGGTCGGGCTTTGGCGCCACGGTACCTGGGGCTGCTGCTGAGGGTGGATCCGCAGCTCCACCGGCTCCAGGTAGTTGCAGGGCACGAGCCCCTTCTGCAAAGAAGGCAGCAGACACTGGTGCTCAGAAAGCTCTGCATTTGCTGCCAGGACCCCATGCCCCGCAACCACCCCCGGGGCTTCTGCATACCTGTCCGTTGAACATGACCGTGGCCCAGTTATCATTGCCCTTCTTCAAGACAAAGACGATGTTCCCAGGCATGACCTGGAGCTCCTGGGGTGTCTCGGGCACAAACCCGAACAGCACTCGGTGAGCCTCCCCTTCCAGAGCCCTGAGGGGTAGACACAGATCCCGTCCACTGCCTGCCCTGGAACACACCCCCTCCCACTGTGGGGCAAGCACAGCGGACTTGGAACCAGGAGACGCGCTCCAGACACCCTCTAACTCCACGTCTAACTGCCTCTGTGACCCTGAGCGGGTGCCTCCCTCCCCAGGCTCCCAAGAAGACGCAGTAGGGATCCGCACGAGAACTTGCTCCCTAACCATATACACAGGGGAACAAGAATAAGAGAAAACACTGTAGATACAGAAGGCCTCGCAGTCCTCCTCTTTTATCCTGCCTTCCCTTCGGTGGAAAAGGCCCAAGGGTGTGCCTGGCCGGTTCCCACGTCTGGGCTGGGCTGGGCGGACCAGGTGAGTGTGCAGGTGAGAGCCAGCTGGGCGGGGAGGTGAGTGGGGAGTGAGGGAGGAGGAGGCCAGGGTGGGGTGAGGAGGGGGGGGGAAGCGCCTGCGGGAGGCCCAGTGAGGAGAAGGGGGTGTGCGGGCTGAGTTCCGCAAGGTCGGTTCCCCTTCGCCACTTCCTCCGCGCCTCCTCTGCTCTTGAAGGCGCTGGGGCGCTTTGGAGTGTGTGACTTCAAGGCTGGCTTCATGGTGGCCTGCTGTGGCTTCAGGCTTCTCCCTCACTCCGGGCTCACTGGGTCCCTCCCCCTCCCCACTGCCCTCTGGCCCTCTGCCCACTTTTTGTTTCCAACCCTTGTGTCTAAATAGACACCGTGGGCACAGAGTCCCCCGCAGACAGAGTGTAGGAATGAGCTCCTCCAGGCCCCGCATTTGTATACTTGCTTGGGGACTCTCTTCGCTTGCTTTAACCTTCTTTTTAGGGGTGGGGAGCTAGGCAAGCTTCCTTCCTGAGAGGCAGTTCTTAAGAAAGCTGTAGGTTAGGTCATTCTTTGCTTCTCATCTTACAGAAGAATGACTTCTTTTTCTTGAGTCCTTCCTCTTCAGAAAACTTGTGTCGACAGGGAGCAAAGACACAGTCACACTGGAAAGGACAGGCCACTCTAGCTTCTCACTGTGCTAGCCCGGCTCTGAGCTTGGCCTCCTCTCTGCAGGCCTCTCTGCAGGCCCGGCCAGCACCCAGACCGCAGGGAGGGAGGGACAGTGTTCCATGGGACACTATTGCTTCATTACATGGTGGCATGCTCATTGTCACAGGGACCCAGGGACAACTTGTATTGGTCTCCAGGCCCCCAGGGTCAGTCCCAGCACAGAGAGACCCTGACCCTGGCTTCCCTTTCTCCACCCTTTCTATTGCCACCAGCCCAGGCTTGGAGCTGGGCCATTCTGCCCACTGATCTGCGTTGAACTTACCTGAAGATCTCTGGTGTTTTGGGTCTGGGTGGAGGCTCGGCTGCCTATTGAACATTCAGGAGGAACCAAGATGGGCAGAACAGCAAAGAAAGAGAGAACAGATGATTCGTGGTCATTTGAGCCTTCTTCCCAGGGCAGAAAATCAAAGAACGCATTTGCGGCTCCATCAGGACTCTGTCCCGGGAAGAAGGCACAGGGTTCCCTGACAAAACACTGGAAAATAGCGCCTCCCACCAGCCCCCCGGGGACAGGCTTCAATGGTGGCAGCAACTGTTCTTCAGCCAGACCTGGTTCCTGGGGACGTTTAGCTGTCACAGGGCCACAGGCCGTCACGAGGATGCTTTTGACCTCAAGCTCTGTCCCTTCCTTGGGACAATTTTCAAAAGCTCTGTTCTATAATTCCTGCCTGCCATATCGCATGTCACCTGTGGGTGTTTAAAGCCAACTCAAGACCCACCGGCCAGGCAACAGCCTCCTTTCCACGTGTTTCCCGTTTCACCCCGAGCGGCATCTTCGCCTTGTGGAACCCTCGGGCGGCTCTGAAGCCCAAGGGGCTTCGCAAGTTAGTGTGAGAACAAGATCAGAGAATCTGGATGTCTACTCTCCTTCACGCATCTTCCCCTCTGGAGCCCCAGCGCTGGTCACATTCCGGGCTAGTGGTGACCATTCGGACCCTGGCCGGCTGTCAGTGCTGCCCTCGGGAGGGCCCGGGGACCGGAGAGGAGGTGCCGCGCTCGGAACCCCTCCCCCTGCGGGCGCGCGGCGACGCTCCTGCCCATCCACTTCTGGTGCAACACCGCTCAGATTCCGCTTGGCCTGTCTCACCCTCTTCCCTCCCCGAGGAAGCCGTGCCTCCCGCCTTCGCATTTCTGGACGCCTGTCATCCAGTCCTCTGGAACCACGGCTCTGAGCCCCGCATGGGCTGCGGGCACCCTCCCTGTGTTCCCCAGGGAACCGCTCATCATGGGCAGATGGATGCAGCCAGGAGGGCTCCCGGCCTCAGGCGCCAGCCCCCACGGGAGTCCCCCACTAGCCCGGGTCCAGGGAGAATTGTTCAAAATCCTGCACTCGCTGTGTTTCCGTTTTCTGAGAGGAGAGCACAGGCTCCAGGAGAGGCCGTCACCAGCTCTCAGAACTTAGAGGAGCGAAGGCTGGTAATTGGGGGTTGGAGGAAAGTGGGGGGGGGTTCGCTTCTTGAGGACCTGGGGCTGGCGAAACCTCAAACCGCTTTGTTTCCCACCAGTCATGGACCCCGGACCAAGAAGGGCGGGCAGGCACCCTCAGCAGCCCTGCGCGGTCAGCCGAAGGAGCCCTTAAAATGAGGCCACCCAGCCGAAATGTTCTCCCCACCCTGGACATTGCACAGAGCTCGGGAGATGAGGTCCACACAGGGAAGGCAGGACAGACTCACCTGCGGCTGCAGAGGCGCGAACCCGGAGAAACTGTCTTGATCCACCACGGACGCCACCACCTGAACCGGAGTAAGGGGGGAGTGAGGGCTCGGCCAGCACCATTTCCCCATCAAGTCCCCTCTGGGCTCACACCCTGAGTCCATTGTCCCTGCTGCCTGCTTCTAGAAGTGGACAGTGGCTGGGGACTGAAGGGCTGACCCTCTGGGTGGGAAGTTTCAGCAACGGAAGAAACTGGTCCCCACCCCCCACCCCCGCTAACCCAGAGGGCCCTCTCTCTCTCTCTCTCTCTCTCTCTCTGTTTTGAAATTTTTATTGTGGCGAAGTTTACATGCTCTAATATGAACCATTTTAAAGCGCACAGCACAGTGGTATTTCGCACAATCACGATGCTATGCGACCACCATGTCCATCCAATGCTGAAACATTTTCACTGGCCCCCAAAGAAACGCTGTACCATTACGTCCACATCCCCTCTCCTCCTAGCACCCGGCAATCACCAGTTCGCTGTCTGCCTCTGTGCACTGACCTCCCTAGAGATTCCTATAAACGGGGTTGTGTAACATGAGGCTTTTGTGTCTTACTGCCTTCACATAGCATGATCTTTTCAGGGTTCTTCCAAGCCGTGACTCCTATTGGTACTTGTCTTCCACTGTGCGGCTATACTGCATTCTGCTTATCCGCTCACCCACCGATGGACCCCGGGGGCTTCCACTAACCCAGTCTCTCTGCTGTGCCAGAGCCAGCTACCCCATCGGTAGGCAACTTTAGCCCTACAATTGCATCAAAGTCAAGTGCAGTTTTGGAAGAGGGCTGTTGACTAACTGTGGATCATTCCCGAAAGGGTCTAAGACCAAGACCAAGGCTCAGAAGGACTCCAGTCTAGTCCTAGTGCCGTGGAAGTGGGGCCACAGGAAGCATTAAGCCAAGAAGATGCCATGCTGGTCCGTTTCCCTGACATGTTCTCTCCACATTGAGTGAGTGCCTCAGAGCCGTGTTTTTCTTCCACTGGCTCAGTCCCCAAGACTCAGCATTCTGTGAGTCAGCCCTCACCCAGGGTCAGGCTGGAAGGGACGGATGAGAGGAGCCCGGAGAAAGTAAACTAGGAGCATCTTTCAACAAAACCGCCGCACTGAACACAGTCTCCCATTGCCACCCCGGGGGCAGAACCACAACGGGGGAGCCCTTTTCCCCCGAGCCCCTCCCACTGTGCTCCGCATGGCCCGCATCTCAGGACGCTCCGGGAAGGCTAAGAGATCCACCTACCGTAGCCTTGCCCAGGTAATCCTTCTTGACCAGCTGGGCCACTTGCTTCTCGTTGGGTCGGAAGAGCCTGCCCACAGGGATCACCACCGGCTCGTACAGCTTCTGTTTCTGTGACACAGACAGCACAGCATCTCCTTACCTGTAAGGGACAGGTAAGGAGGCTTGTCCTGCCTGCCTCACTGAACGCATGCAAGGGTCCACTGGGAGCACCTCACAAAAGCACTTCTTCCAAACGTGGAAGGGTGGAACTTGCTGCTATTCCAGGGTGTCTATGGTAGGAAAGGTGGGTTTCAAAGTCACTTTTCCCTGAGGGGCTGTGTGGACATAATGTCGGTGTTGTTTGCCCAGCACCCTCATTTTGAAGGGGAGCCACCCTTCTCCCGCTCCATGCGGCTCAGGTAGGGCTGCCACTCACAGTGCAGGAGGCACTGTCTCCCCTCAGGGGTTGGGGGGCTCAGAGTGTGTTATCTTGGGACCAGTGTCTGCAGCACAGGCATGGAAAGACTGACCTGCGTCCCCTTGTTCCTGGCATTTTAAAAACCTGATTTAAAACGAGCTTCATCCCAAATGTACTTGGACGAGCGAGGGCTACTTTTCACCATTTGCTCATATAACCAAGGCGTTTCTTCTATGGAGAGCAGTAGTGTGCCTGGCTGCCAGGACTCACAGACGGCAGGCACAGCCTCTGCCCTCGAGTGCTGGGCTCCAGCCTCCAGCCTCCTGCTGCCCTTTGCTGCCACAGAGCCCCAAATGGGTTTTGGGGTCAGGTGGTGGCCCAAGGCAGGGCTCTGAGGTCCCCTACTCCAGGTCTCGGCTTCCCTGCATTTCCAGATTCCAGCCCCTGCCTAGACTTCTACCCCTCAGGCCAGTGCTACCCGGGACCACTTCTACAGTTTCTCAACCTGCACAAATAATCCCTGAAACAAGTAAAAGTCCAATGACACTCTCTCACCCCCCAGGTTCCTGGACACCTACCCAGATGCACTCCATGGCTTTGTCAATTTTGGAATGCCTCGGCTCAGACTTCATGCTCATGGCCAATGCCAACTGCTCTTCAGCCTTTTTCCATTCCTCCTTCTTGGCGTGCATCAAAGCAATGTTGTACAAGACCTGGAAAAGCACAGGGCGCACCATAAAGCTGGAGGCTGCTCCAAATCTGGGTGCCAGGAGAGAGCTTGCACAGTGCCCTCGGAAGGTTGCCGGGCAACATGTCTCCCTTTCCCAGCTCCCCTCGGAATGTCTGGAATACAATCCTGTCCATCCTGCTACCGAGTCATGCGCAGCACGAGGATGGTGTTAAGTGGACCTCATGTGATGCATTAATCCACTGCATGGTGTACAGTTTGGGACAACCAGGTAGGTCAGGAGGAAACGAGAGTTACTGTGTGGCTTTAGTGCGGAGAAGAGTGATGGGCTCCAGACCCCTTGAAGAGCTGGGAATAAATACATGTGTGCAGCTTCTCAAAACAGCTCCTGCCTCTGAGCCTAGGCTGAGGGAGTGGGCAGGTGCGGGTCAGGGGGAAAGAGGATTCCAGACACAGCGTCCTGCACCAGCACCCGCAGGACCCTGCCCGGGATGCGGTGCTAGCAAGACTGTGAGCCAGGCACCAGGAACGAGGACACTATCACTGTATGGCCAGAAGTCAGAAAGGGACGTGGCACGAGCCCAGCACAGCGCCTCACCTGGGTGGGAGGGAGCAGCCCATGCAAGCAATGGCTGTAATTTTCCAGGTCTTGAGTTGGGTGGTAGGTTCATGAGTGTGTGTTTGATTATTACGCTTCACAACTTACACATAGAATCAAATCTTTTAGATGCATCAGCAAGATTTTAAAAAACAAAACAAAACAAAAACCAACTTTGAGCCTCAGTGAGCGGTTGGTTGCCTTCCACATGCATACTTGGGGCCCAGCCCACCCTTGACCGTGTGTGCAGGAAGAAAGGAAGACTCAAAACCATCTTGAGCTTCCCACTTGGTTCCCGGCCACCTTCTCTGGAGACCTTTGCCACACCAGGTGTTTATGGCTCCCTGGCAGGAAAAGGTTGGCCTCTTTTCAAAAAGGATGGTGGGCTTCTCAGAGCCAGAGTCGCGGCCTGTGGAAGGCAGGTGTCGTATAAGAAGGAGGGAGGCGGCTGGAGGCAGAGGGGCCTTCGGCCTTAGAAAGTCCGGCTTCGCTTGCAGAGCGGCCCAGACAGCCTGTGTTTCCTGTCCCAGGGTCATTTCAATGTCAATTCCAGGAGGAACCTTCCTCCCACAGGAGGCTGCTTCACTGCCACGGTCTCATGACCTTCCCTCTGGAGCTCCGTGGTCCCCCAGCCCTTCAATCCATATAAGCGGTTCTCAATTGGTCATGCCTAGAGATAGGTTGTCACATTGGGGGTGGGGTGTGACTGGCATGTAGTGGGTAACAGAGACCAGGGATGCTGCTAAACATCCTACAATGCCCAGGACAGCCCCCTACAACCAAGAATTATTCGGGCCACCAGGAGTGCCACCATTGAGAAACCCTACTCTAGAAGCTGGCCAAATGGCAGGACTCCCCACTGCAAAACCCCATTCCCCAGACAGGGACGAGTGGAATAAGTTGCCAGACATCAGTAGGGCTGCATGGGGACACATGTCCCCAGGGGCCCGGGCAGCTGTGGGACTATTATTAGCCCTGGGCTACCCTGAAAACACTTGGCTTCTTCTACTTGAGAAATCAAAGCAAAGGGACTTTTTTCAGTAATTGTTCTAAATAAAGTTCTACAATATTTGCAGGGATTTCAGTTTTTGAAGCTACTGGGACATTTGAGGTTGAAGAGGGGTGTGGGTTGGAAAAAGTTCACTAACTTGAGAAATCACAGCCAGTCATGTTTCTCCTCCTCAGTAATGTAGAAAATATGTTATCCTTCTATGGGGACCTTTTCTAAATGTGTGCGCTGAGCTGTTCTTTGACTGAGAGGGGACGGATTTGTGCCAAATTATCCTCACTCCATGGGTATCAAACGAGTACAGGAGGCCAGAACCATTAATAGCAAAGAGCGTGGGCTGTAACTTGGGAAGTGAGCAAGGTCACGGCAGGCCCTGCAAGGATGGTGAACCCATGATTTGGATTTGTTAGCATAACGCTGGGCAAATAGCTTGTCAACCCGAGTGATGCAAATTAGGATGAACACTTTCACAGGCCAGCTCACGTGTCCAGGCCGCCCCTCCTTACCTCGCAGGAAAACAGCTTGAACTGCAGCCCCAGGATCTTGTAGTCTATCAGCTGGTTCCCTCGAAGCTGAGTCAAGGCCTCTTTAAGGTCCTTGATCGCTAGGTCATATCTGCAGGATGGAGGGAGAGGATAAATCAGTCCAGGGCACGGAGGAAAAACTGTGCGATAAGATGTGTGTATGCGTTCCTTTCTCCATTGGTCTCGTGGGAACAAGAGCCTTTCTCATGCTCCAGTTTTTTGCCAACCCTGAGCTCTAGCTTTCTACACAACTCAGTGTGTGAGGTGCCCCTGGGGTCTGACACCCCCCAGTCTCAGGCAGCCGGACGTATTTCCTTCTCTGTTGACTCGATACCATGCCCACCTTTCTGACGACAGGTTTGTCGCTTTGCACAAGAGCCTGGATCTCTCCTGAGAGCTCCAGGCTGAGCCAGCACCTCCTGGGCCCTGGGTCCCTGCAAGGTGGTTCAGAGGGCTGTTAACTCCCTGCCTCAGGCGTGAACCAGACCAGCCTCCCTGACACAGGGACACTGCTCGGAGGGGCCTCTCCCACAGCCATTGACATCCCTCCCCTGCCCCGAGCTTTTTCCTTGGCTTCTTTTGAGTCCAATTTAGCTCCCGGTTTTGTGGCTTGCTTAGTCTCCTCTCCCCTCCCTCCTCCTCCACACACTGGGAAAAAGAAACCACCCCTTGAGCCAACAGCATTTCTGACCCTGTTCCTGGAACCGCGCCGTGCTTTCTTGGACTGGCCTTGTGCTGACCAGCTCAAGGTGTATCAGGGCTGCTGCTGTGGGTTTAGGGGCAGAGAATGGAGTTGGTCACATCAGCAGGGCCAACAGACACGTGGGCAGGAACTGCACCATGTCTCCTCAGCCTGCCCTTGACCTCCCTGCCCCAGTAGCAGGGAGCCATCCCTGGGCTTCAGGCTGTGGGGCGGTGGGGGCGGAGGGTGCAACAAAAAGCTATCTACCCTCCCCCACAGCCGGAACAAATTTGGCTGCTGGCTGTGGCTCCCTCGGGGCACCTGGACCACAAGTCCCCAGGCCACTCTCTGACCTGGAGCTGCCACATGTGGCTTCTCTTGGAGGCAAGACTGGACTTGGGACTCAGGCTGCAGGGGATCGGCAGGAGGTGGTATGGTGTCCTGAGGCGCCTTAGGACAGTGGCTGGGAGACTGGGACCACAGCCATTAGCTGCGCCCCTGCCCAGGAGACCCTGGGGAGTTACTTCCTCAGCCTCAGGATCTGGGTCCATAATATAAGGAGTGCGTTGTGTAGCAGGAGCACTTTGTATTCAAGGAGCCTGGAATGTGAGGAGCCTGCTAGTAGGTGGTCCTGGATCCGATTTCTGGGGTCAAAACCACATGGACTTCCCTCCTGGCTCTGCCATCTACCATCTAGTGACAAAGGACAAGTTGTTTCATTTCTCCAAGTTTGTTTCCTCATCTTCAGAGACAGCACGACAGTAGTGAGTGCCTCCCAGCGTCGCGAGAACTAAACGTGATGAAGCACCCAGGTGCTTAGGACTGTGCCTGGCACACGTAGTCATTTATATTATTATTATTATTATTATTATTTTCAAATCTAAAAGTCTGGCAATTAAATTCACAGGGCAACCATCTGGTCCATGCTTCCTTAATACTCTAGACTGTATGTATTATCAGGAGATCAAAATACACAGTTGTAGAAGCTGGAGCTCCGATCTCAGGGAAGCGTGGAGCTGACCAGGAGGGCAGGCGGGACAAGAGGGTCTTAAGAGATGCGTCCGCAGGGGGTTGGAGGAGAAGCTGGGCCTTCTGTCGCCCCTGGGTTTGAAGTCAGCCACGCAGCAGCAGCGGCTGCAGCAGTCATGGAAGGAGCAGGAGAAAGGCTTTCTCTAACACACCCTCGTTGTTCCTAGAGACCAGTGTAAACCCCATTTAAAGTGTGCAGGCCATTCCTTAGGAAGCAGAAAGCACGTAGAGGTTTCTTTCAAGCATCTCTGTACCTTCTTTCTAGGCTGGAAGACTGGGGGACTGGCTCCGACTCACTGAGCCAAGAAGGAGGGGCAGGCGAAATGCAGAGGCCTTGCTCTGCGAGCACACGAAGCTCCATGGTGTGCCCTGTCTGCACGTGTGACAGTTTCAGGGCTCAGAGGGCACACTCCAGGTACTGACAGCATTACCCTGCAGTGCGCTTGCCCCCTGGCAAAAGCCCTGGTGAGGTGGGTGCATTTCAGCTGTGCCGTGACACCTCCTGGTATTGAATGACCCCAACAAAATCTTTCTCATAATCCTCCAGCCCATCACGATGTCTAAAGATCTGGGCCCGGTGGGAGAGAGGAAGAACCCAAAAATTATTGATATGCAAAGGGCTCGCTTTGTGTTAAAAATTGGTGGGGCGCGCTCTGTAAATGTCAGATTCAAACGTGTCTTTAAAGGCACCCTCCTGGCTGCTCCCTGCTGGCCTCTGCTCAGCCGCCCTTGTTTCCGGGGAGCTGCACCCCAGGAGCACCCACCTTGACACACAGCCCGCTACCGGCTGCCAGCTGCCTGGGGGCCTGAGTGGGCTCAGTGTGAAATTCCACAACAGCAGGCAGCCCTGGCTGCTGGTGGGTCTGAGGAGTGCGGCTCCCCCTCCCCCCCCCCCCCCAGCCCTCCTTCAGTTCTCTTCTGTGTCATTTGGAAAGCACAGTGTCCCTGGAAGGCCAAGGTGCCGGCAGCTTCCTGCTGGGCACCAGGCTGCGCTGGACCTGAGCTACACCCTGCTCACCCACTGGCCGGGGCCAGGGCAAGCTGGCTGGCTTTTCTCAATCTCTGAGCCCAAGAGGGTTTATAACCCTCATTTTTCTAACTGGAAAGGTTTCTTAGTAACCGCTGTGTTCCCGATTGTCCCTGTCCTACCCATGCCCACGCAGCCTACAGTTTTAAAACAGAGAGTCCTAGCTGCTGAAAAGTGACAAAATGACGCACACTTCTGTGAGCGGGCTGGGGGGTCATGGTTTTCAGTTTCAAAGCCTGCAGGACAAAGACTTTGCTGCGTCACCTCCGTGGGCCAGCAACATCTAAAGGGTCTCATGGTTACGGTTATGATCACAGCCCTCAGGTTCAGAAGGCCCAGGACCTGAAACACCCAGAGCTTCCTTCCCCTTTCAGACGGCAGACGGGGCAGAGAAGTGAGCCGGTCTGGCCGTCATCTGGTGTGGTCACCCAAGATGCCAACTGCCTCCTCAGACATGCATTCTCACATTGCTCTGTGGGACTCTGCTGGGACAGCAGGACATGTGAAAGTGGCGAAAAAAGAGAGAACAACCCACTGCATTATTGTCCTAACACGAGTTCTGCCGCAATCTGGGGAAATTCCTAACCCGGCTCCCGGAGGAGTCCGTTTTCTAGTTCCCCATGGGCCCTTCTTTTAAATTAGCTCTTACAGCTCTTGCCCCCTTCTGCCTTGCATGGTGGCTACTGGTGTTCTTGACCTGTTCCCCCCTTTTAATAAGTTCCTGCAAAGCAGAGGCTAGATTTTTCTCGCTTTGGTTTAATTCATTTAATAAGCATTGTATTAACTGCCATACTCAATGCTGAAACACAAGTGACCAGGTAAAGATTTCTTCTCTCAAGAAACTCAGAGAGTAGCAAAGGAGACAGATACCTAGTATCTGCCGTATTAGATATTGGCAAATATCTGTCATCGGGAAGACAGGCGTTCTTCTAAAAGGAGGCACAGAGGAGAGTGGCCGCCCCCTTGGGGGCCGGGCAAACCCGGGGGGCAGGAGTGGGCAGGCAGTAGATACAGTAATGGGGTCACCGAAAGTTTTTAAGTAGATAACATTAGTTTTTTTCAAGCAGACCAGTCTGGGATAAGGGTGGCCAAGACAAGGCTGGTGGCTGAGAAATTTGTTCGGAAGTGATGACAGCAATCCCGGTGAGACCGGGGGGTCTGAACCAGGGTACAGCTGGTAGGGGTGGAGAAGAACGGCAGAGTATGAGAGAGACTTCAGAGGTCAACTTGACAAGGTGGAGGACAAAGAGACCTCCGGGGTTGGTCCCAGGGAGAGATTCAGTGGCCAGCTGGCTACAGATGGAGGCCAACACTGCGGGAGAGAGTGGGATCTCTGGGGTTCACCTACGGATTTTCAGGGGACACTGACCCCCCTGAAGCTGCATGTAAAGTTGTACACACGCTGTGTGTGTCGCTGGGAAGATAACTCATGCGTTTTGCCATTAACAGCCCCTGCTACACTGACGTAAGGGGGAGGGGCCATGAGCAGGGCCTGCAGGGAGAGGGCACCCGTGTCTGTGATGGAGCAAAAGTGAAGAAGGAGCTTCAGGTGGAGAGCAGTGACTTCTGTTTATCGCTTCCTCAACAGACTGTTATGGAATTAACCGTGAAATTTGGTAGATTCTGCTCTCGGATTTAACTACTATTCACAGCATGCAAATTGCATTCTGGGTTTTATTTCTAGGTAAAACCAGATCTTTCTGACTCTCAAAATCCAAGCCTTGCAGGCTCAGGGACTTCTAGGCATTTGCATGTAGCAGTTTCTTCTGGGAGCCTTTCCTCTTGACAGCAGCTCTCCTCATTACAGGCTGTTAGAGCCCATTAAAGGATGGCCTGCGAGTTCGTCTTTTACGATTCAAGGTCAGCTGGGGGATTTGTGTTCAGGCTGCCCTCACACCCTGCACACCTCAGGCCCAGGCTTTCTCTCCCCAGATGCCTCTGTGTGGTTTTTCTTTTGGGATGACTTGATTTCCCTTTCTTATTCGGGTAATTGACTGCATCTACATCTTGGAAGTCTTCTGGGCTTCTTGTAATTGCCCCTGGCAATGGCTGAGCACAGTGGCTTACCTGGCCTGGATTCTGATCAAACCCTAGGATCAGAGCCTCGCAAGGTTGCACACGATCCGACCAGCCCCCTCCCCAATGCCTAGACATTCTCTGCAGCCTCCTCTGTGCCCCACCAACGCCCTGCCTCACCTGCTATGGGTACACGTGTGTGTTCCCCCCCAACACACACAATGCTCTGACCGTTTTCACAGAAAGTTCTCCATTAGCCTGAGCTGAAATCTTCTTTTCCAGAGCTGTGCCCACCAATGAAATGAACAATTTCTGCAAAGGCTGGCCATCCCCTACAACATTCTAAGTTAATGCTCAGAATGTTTTCCCTTTGTTATTTGTATGTTTGTTACTGGGGTATCTTGGGGAAGGGGAATGAAAGTGAGATTAATCTTGATTTTCTATTTATTTTTTTTGACTATTTTGTGGTGGCTGTAAACACTGCAGAAAGTACAGACAGACTGACAGAAGGAAATGGAAATCCCTATAACGTCACCACCCAGAGAGCACTGCCGACCACATTTCAGCCTATGGCCTTCCAGACTCTTCTGTGAAACAGACATGGGCTTGTGCTGCACACGCTGTTTGAAACCTATGCTGCGAATTTAACATCCACTGTGAACTTTTTTTCTATGTTAATATATATGCTACTTACTTGTCCGTATCAATATATTCTTACACATGTCATGTGAATAGTTAGTATTCTCATTTTACTGGCCGAACAGTATTTCACTGCATGGGTTAAACTAGGCTTTTGAAAACAGTCTGCAGAAACCATGGAAAATGTGATGTGGTTTCACGATCACTCTTGCTGTGTGACAGTTCAATACCTCACAATAGGGGACCTCCAGGGGTGTCCCCTCAATGGCCAACAATTTACGACCTGCACCGTCCAGCTGTGACCCATCAGGGGTGTTCATGGATGCCACATCAGCTGAACACCAGGCCTGCGGCGGTTACGCAGGCTCGTCATGAGCTCTGACATGGTTGATTTCTAACGGGGGTGGCCGGCCTGCCCTCCCTGCCTGGGCCTCGTGCTGATTTCTTGTGTGACTGTGCCCAGGGCAGATCCAGTCACACTTCGCACTGGATGCTGGGCGGATGCTTCTCAAACAGCCAGGTGAGCAGCACCGAGACCCGCTCCGGGTTTTCTGTGAATGTCCGAAGCTGGTGCAACCCTGGGTCACTTACTTCTCCATCCGGTAGTAGAGCATCCCTCGCTGGAAGTAGGCCACGGCCAGGTGCTTGTCTCGGTTGATGCTTCTGGAGAAAGCCTGTGGAGAGGGGGGGTCCATTGGTGGCCGAGGAGCCAGGCAGTGAGGATGCATGGCATGAGCCAGAGTGTGAGGCAGGAGGGGTCTCGAGAATCACTGGTGTCTTTACGGTGACACTGGGGTCAGAATGCCCCATGTTGTCACTTCCTGGTGGCATGCCAGGACGCAGGTTACCCAATCTACTGTAAACCTTAGTATTCTCCTCAGTAGAATGGTATATTAATTTCTGCCTTTCAACACTACCAACAGGATTAAAATAATAGAAGCAAGTAAACATGGAAACAATGAAAATGTCTTATCCACTATTATATACTCATATGTAGATTTATTATAGCAGTATCACACAATTAAAATAATAACAAATAGTCCTGGCCAGGGTGGCTTAGCCGGTTGGAGGGTCATCCCCTACACCTGTCCCTGGTCGGGGTGCATATGGAGGACCACAAATTGATGTTTCTTTCTCTCTCTGTGCCCTCCCTACCTCTCTCTCTAAAAGCAATGAAGAAATGTCCTCAGGTGAGGATAATATTAAAAAGTGCATATAAAATTCCAGGAGTAAGGACGCACACAGGGAACCAGAGAAAGGCAGAGAGAGAGAGGCAGGCAGCAGACTGCAGGGAGAAGTTCAAAGCGGCGAGAGGAAGCCATGGGGTCTGTGAGCTGGAGGTCAGGGGGGCCAGCACGGCCTGGCCACAAGCCTCTGCTGGCGTAGCTGCCGCACGGCAGCTTCTCCCCCACTGTGCACTTGGCCTCCAGCAGCCCCCAGAATCTGTGCTGCTATTTGCTCCGCCCCCTGGCAGGTCCCTGAGAGGAGGTGGGGGCCCTCGCATGCTCCTGCCCACTGTGGACCTGAGATGGGCTTATCAGTCTGCACAGGTCCTTCCAGGCAATTCCTTTCTTCACTCTCTTTGTTCACTTCTGGTCACAGTGAGGATGGCTGTGGGAGGAACTGGCTTTTTAAGGGGACTGGGTGTTCAGCCATCTGTCCACAGGGCCTTGCAAAGACTGGCTAACGGGTAAAAACAAGACTAACACTCACGCCCTAGTGTGAAGTGACTCAGCACTTACACAGGTGGTGTCTCACTTAATCCTCCAGATGTTCAACCCCTCTGAGACTCTTAGAGCTGGAAGTTAACATGTGTTGCTGGAGACCCAAGGTCCAGAGAGAGGCAGAGCTGGGCTTTGACTCTGCATCGGCTTCCAAACTCCACACCCTTTCCAGCTTCCCATCACCAATCCAACAGGTGATGCTTCAATGCTCAGCCTCACGCTCGGGAATATGAGAGAGAAAAAAAAACTTAAAAAAGATGCTGTAACACCCCACACGGTGCGCCCGGCAGACATCATCAATCAACCAATCACAGTATGATCTCCTTCTACCAGCCTCAAAATCCTTAAAAGAGCGCCCCAGTAAGTGTCACACAGATGAATTGTCACACAGGTAAAACCTATTTTACTTCAGTGTCTCTTCTTGACCTCTTGGGCAGACAAAGCTCACCCAGCGAGTGAAAGTCTTGAAAAGCCAGAAAGAGGTGCCTTAGTGCCAGGTGTGGCGGTGAGACTCAGAGGCTGCGCGTGGCCAGCAGGAGTTCACAGAAGAAAACATAACCAGGGGCGTCTTCATGAGGGGGCTGGAGAACATTCCAGAATGAGGCGTGGTTCACGGAAGGAGAAGAAAGGAGGGCGTAACCCACAGTGGCTCCCAGCCTGCTGGCCCATTCGAACCATCTGGGGAGCTTTTAACAATGAAGGGCTCCCACGCCCCCACCAGGCCAATTAAATCAGGATCCCTGTGGGTGAGGCCTGGGCAGCTTTGTGTTTGTAAAAGCTCCCAAGATGTTTCTCCAGGGCAGCCAGGGTTGGGGACAGGTGATTTCAAAGGCCGCGTGGGGCCCTGGGGGCGGGGGCAAGGCATCTCCACTCACCTTCTCTGCCGCGGCCAGGTTTTCCTGGATGGTGTAGATGCAGCCCATATTGAAACAAATCCTGGAGTGGGGGTCCTGGATTGCAGAGAAGGCGTCCAGGGCTCCCTTCCAGTCCTTCTTGTCGGCTGCCAGCACCCCATCATTCCAGAGGCTGATGGCCTCAGCCAGAGACATGGTCAGGCGGACACCAGGGGCCTGAGCGAGCTTGGCCAGAGGCAGGCAGAGGGTGAGCGCGGCCCTTGCCCAGCACGGCAAACCCCGGCCTTCGCTTTCCTGGCCCTGCTCTCAGAATGGGTCCAGCCTCCCTTACGACAGCTTCCCAGTGTTGCAAAGGCATCAGGAAATGTCCCCACCTTTCGGAAACTGACGCGGAGCCCTGCCATGAGAGAAAAGGAAAGAGACAGAGAGAGATAGGGCGAGTGGGGGCGGAGTGTAGGGGAGAGAGGAAGTGTCTCAGATGCTGCTGGGATGGATCAGTTCCCCAAAATGCTTCTGCTCTGCCACCCAGCTTGTCCCCTCCGTCTTCCCCTGCTTCTGCTACGGCTCTGAGTCAGGGCTCTGCCCGAGGCTCATGGCAACCTGGCCAGGTCCGCACGCCTCGTTCAATGAGGGTGTTGGCTGGGGGGGCAGTTCTTTCCAGTCTTACGTGAACTCCACGCCCACCTTCTCGTCACCTCATAGACCACCTTGAAGCATTCGTGTTTTCTCTTGAGCTAAAATGAGCCATTAGCTGATTTTGGATGCCCAAGCATGGTCTTGGGTGTCCATCTGTGTCTGAGTCACTGCTGTGAATGCTTGCAAAGCTCGGGAGGGAGTGATCTCCTGCAAACGCTGCAACTCAGAGCCGTGCGTGACAGTGAATTGTGGCTCCTCCCACCCCTGCGTGAAAAACGGAAGGGACAGGGGTCTGTCTCATTGAGGACGGATGTATCTACCAGTCTCCAAAAAGAGATTTAAGGTTCATCCCCTGGGAGTGAGGGGGGTAGAAGGGGACTAAATGGTGATGGAGAAATATATAATAAAAAAAGTTTAAAGATTCTTTCCCTTGCTGACCCCAAAATGTAAAAATCAGTAAAATCTCCCTGAGGAACCATTGTGAGTACAGAGTATAACCAATTTGATTTACTGAAATCCTGACTTCTTGCTAGTGTTAGAGAAATGTCCCTGTAGCAACTGAAAGAACCCACTAAGTGTCACCCAAATTCTGTAAGAGTCTGAAAATAAAACTCACAATTGTATTTCTGTAGGACGTAGAGGGTTGAAGGTGCGAGAATGGAGAAGACATGCCCCTGTGTTGTGAAGGCCTTCCCACCTCATTTCTTCATCTGGCAAACTCCTATTCACCCGTGAAGGCCCAGTCAAATACCACCCTTCTTTGGAATCTAGCCCCACACTCCAGGTAACAGGGATCCTTTTCTCTCCTTTGTACCACCTCTTCATTCTAGAATCCCTAGCACCAATACTCAGTATGTGATGAAGGAATATATTCCAGAAACAAGTTAGAAATCACTGGCCAAGGACCTGTAGGTGACGCTGGGCAGAGACATTGCTAGTCCGCCCAGTAAACAAATAATCAAAACTCGGTTTGCATACCGATTACTCCCAGGAAAAGTCAGTGGTTTTGTGGCTAATTGGTGAGTTCTTCTGTGGCTAAGCTAGACTTTATTTTAACTCTCCCCTCTCTGCCTTTTTATTTAACTATTCCAGTCAGCCACACAGAACCTCCCTTCAACTGCCGCCCACGACCTCTCCAGCCTTATGTCCCCGAATGTCCCTTCACCTATAGACCACAGACTACACTAGTTGCTCCTCTCTCTCCAGGCCTTCATTTCCTGCCTCCCTGCTTTGGCCCAGGCTGGATCCTCTCCCTGAACCGGCCTTCCCATAGCTGCACCTACACAGGCGCCTTTGCCAGCCTTCGGTGTCCTGTGCAAATATCTCCTTCCTTCATAAGTCACCCTGGAATCAGGCACCGTCCCCCTAAGCCCCACGCCTGTGACCTCACCTTCTGAACTTCCATGTGGCACCTAAGTGGAGTTCTGTGTGTGCCTCTGCATCTTAGAACAAGCGGTGCTCCTCGGGAGGCGGTCCTGGGACTGCCCGCCCTCGCATCCCCCAGAGCACCACTGTGCCACGCCCAAGCAATTCTGTGCCCCTCCTCTCCATCCCTCCTGTCGCCAAACCATCAGACAGACGTACAGTCTCCTAACATCTTGCCTTCCCATCTGTTCTTCACATGGCAACCAGACTTTTGAAGACACAAGTCAGATCACTTCATGTCCCTGTTGGAAAACCTTCAGTGACTCCCTGGCTGGTGTGGCTCAGTGGATTGAGTACAGGCCTGAGAACTGGGGGGGGGGTCACCGGTTCCATTCCCAGTCAGGGCTCATGCCTGGGTTGCGGGATGGGTCCCTAGTGGGGGGTATGTGAGAGGCAACCACACATTGATGTTTCTCTCCCTCTCTTTCTCCTTCCCTTCCCCTCTCTCTAAAAATAAAATCTTAAAAACACACAAAAAACCCCTTTGGTGCCTTTGCGTTGCTCTCAGGATACAATCCCTCCCGAGCACGAGAAGGGCCCTGTGTGCTGCTCATTCAACCCAGGCTGCGGGATGCACGCCATGCTCCTTCCCAGCCCTCTGGCTGCCCCGATCTCTGCCTGGAATGTTCTTCCCCAGCCCTGTGCCTGGCTGGTTCCTACTCACCTTTCTTTGCCTCTGAATGGCCTTTCCTGAGCTGCGACCTCACTGTGACACCCTGCTCTCTCTCTCAAAGCACACAGTCCTCTCCAGTCACAGCGTTAGTGACAATTTGTAACTGTACACCCTCTGTCAGGTCGTTTCTGTCCCCCAGTGCAGACGGTCATTACGACTGTCTTTGATTACAACACTCATGGACACTGCCAGTAGACAGCCTTTCCCGGTGCCCTTCATTCCCCAACCTCCTCTCGGGGGAACCCTGTTCTGTTGGAGTCCCCACTCGCCTGAGGCCAACCCTACCTGGGCTGTGTGGTTCTGATTGGCTTACGCACAAATATGAGATATAATTCTGGTTAATAAATATTAGGGGAAGTCAGCCAAGGATTTCTGGGAAAGATATCTATTTTCTCCTTACTGATAAAAAAAAAAAAAAAGACACCTGGGAAGAAACAGTACTTGTGGAGTGCTGTGAAGAGGTCCGGAACAGTGGCAGCTCTCCTGTGCCATGAGGAGAGCCAGCTAAGAACAAGTCATTGTCTTAAAAAGAATGGAAAACTGAAAGGAACCTGCATCCCGAGTTACGTTGGTGAGCTCCGACGTAAACCAGCATTGGAGCTGACCTACCTGAGGATTTCTTGTCTGGTGAGTGAATAAATCTGGGTATTGTTTAAACCACTTGAAGGGGGTTTTCTGTTATTTCCAGGTTAAGACAGACATGCCCTCACTTGCTAGCACAGCTCTTGAAGTAGCAGGTGTTCAGTAAACTTTAATTGTTGAATCCCTTCTGTTGAGACACTGGTTGGATGACTCAAAGTTCCAGCTCAGTGACTTTGAAATCATTCCAAAGTCCTGAATAAGCAAGATTTATGAATAAGTGGGGAAGAGATCACGAGTGCCTGCTGTGTGTATCGGTGCAGCTGAAAGCAAAGAACACTCTCTTGTTCTCTCGGGGGGACAATCTGTGAAATCAAACTCATTCTGCTCCCTGCTCCGCAGCGCTCAGCATTTCCCTCCCCATCCCAGCTCTCAGAGTCTAGCGTTTCATTGTTCTCTAACTTTTCCTACTGCGTGAAGTTTCTCTCCCCAGCTCCTCAAAGGCCAGAAACACGTCTCTATTTCCCTCCAGTCTTTCTTCACCCATAGTTCTAGCACATGGCAGCAGCTCTATACACCCTTGAGAATTGGTTAAAGGAACTAAGAGCTAAGAAAGTGGAATCTTACCTGAAAACAATAATGTTATAGTTTGTCAATATCACATTATTTGCATAAAGTGAGGTGCATTTATAATCATGGGGAAAAGCATACACTACTTTCTATGCCTTTAATGTAAATATTAAGTAGATACTTACTTGGAGTACCAGACAGGAAATCCTCAGGAGGCGGGCAGGGAGACCCCATTTTTTTTATACATAAACTTGGCCTGGATTTCACAGGGAGGATATGGAAAACCCAGCACGGGTCCTGTTGGTCGGCAATGCTAACTGAGAGGCTCAGCACTGTAAGTCTCCTTCCCTGGGAAGATATCACAAGGCGGTCCTGTCTAACCTGCCAGTTTGCTAATCATTTGCCTGGTAACCCATGACCACAAACTTTGTGCTTAAAATAATACGCCTTTACTACCTCACAGTTGTCTGAGGTCAGGAGTCTGGGTGTGGCTCAGCTGGGGCCTCTGCCCAGGGCCTCTCGGGGCTGAGACCCAGGTGTCGGCCGGGCTGCACTCTCAACCGGAGGCTGGACTGGGGAAGGACCTGCTTCTCTGCTCCCTCCTGTGGTTGGTGGAATTCACTTCCTTGTCTCTGTAGAATTTATGCTTGCTCTTTCAAGGCCAGAAACGGAGATAGAGTTTCTATTTCAGTGAATCTTTGACTTCCAGACCCTCATTTAAAAGATGAGTCGGATGACCTGGTCAGGTATACCTCATCTGGCTGGAGCATTGTCCCATATACTGAAGGGTTGTGGGTTCGGTCCCCTGTCCCAGCATGTTCAGGGGGCAACCGGTCAATGTTTCTTTCTCTCTCTGTCAAAGTCAATAAACATATCTTCAGGTGAGGATTAAAAATAAATAAAAGAAGGGCCTGCCTGATTAAGTCAGGCACCCAGGATGATCTCTCTCTCGATGAAAGTCAGCTGGTTAAGGATCTTAATTACCTCTGCAAAATCCCGTGGGTCAGAAGCAAGTCACAAGTCTTGCCCACGAACGGGGGTGGGAGGGGTCTGAGGCAGGGAGGATTATACAAGGACAAGGATCCTGAGAAGCGTCTCTGAATTCTGCCTGCCACAGCCAGAGGGTTCCAGTCTCCTCCGTCCCCGACTCGCCAGCCAGGTTAGTGATTCCTGCCCTCTGACCCCAGAGCAGGCGCCCTCTCTCCTCTGTGTGCTCCAACATACGTGATTGTAATGACTTGTTTAAGTGACTGCCCCTCACCTAGACGGTCAGCTCCAGGAGTACAGGGCCCGTGTCTGATTTTTCCACCTACCTTTTGTGCCTGTCACATGGTAGATTCCCAAAACGAGCTAAATATCAATGTTGTGAAAGACACTTTTAAAGTCACAGTACCAGTTTAGGCTGATTGGTTACATGTACCCCATCCTGTCATCAAAATGAGGGCATGTATAATGCCTATTCCTTTAAAAAAAAAAAGCCTATTCTTTTAAAGAACCCTCCCATTAAGCCCTCTAGCTACCAGGGTTATTTCCACCTTTGTACCCTTTACACACGCAATAT